TTTTCTGGACACTGTGTATCACTTAGTTACAACTGATTTGGAAATGCTAGCATAACATAAAATTTTCAACTAAAATATTATAAAAAAGCCTAACTTTATGAATATGAAAACCCAGCACTGCTAAAGAACAAGGGGCGTGCCAGGAACGCACAGTGGGTACAGGAAGGTCAGAGAGCTGTGCATGTCATTCAGGAGGGCTGTGAGGAGGAATGACCTGCTCCAGGCCTCCTGGACAGAGGAGGCGCCAGTGTGTGCCAACCTTCCCTTAGCAACTCTATTCTGCTCACCCCTGTTATCCCCCCACCAAACCAGTTAGGGTTATTTGTAATCCATTATTCCATGCAAATGCAGATGTAAAGGAGAAGGGGAGAAACTGGCTATTCTATGAAGACTTGTAATTTATGGAAATAATTTTGAAATTAATCATAAACTCGTAAAAAAGTATGTCCACATCATATATAATTATATTCCACATTTTGTAAACTAGAAATAAATCCATCTCTATGTTATCAAGAAACATAATATTTAACTCCTTAAAAAAAAAAATCAAAATCAACATCCAAAGACAGCCTAGCTCTATTTTAAAATTATCCTTATTTATACTTAAAATGTAATTCTAAACTTATACTTAAAACAAAAAATATTCCCGCCATAACTGGTTTGGCTCAATGGATAGAGCGACAGCCTGCGGACTCAAGGGTCCCAGGTTTGATTCCAGTCAAGGACATGTATCTTAGTTGCGGGTACATCCCCAGTAGGAGGTGTGCAGGAGGCAGCTGGTCGATGTTTCTAATTCTCTATCCCTCTCCCTTCCTCTCTATAAAAAAATCAAAAATATATATATTTTTTTTTTTTTAATATATATATTTTATTGATTTTATACAGAGAGGAAGGGAGAGAGATAGAGAGATAGAAACATCGATGAGAGAGAGTCATCGATCAGCTGCCTCTTGCACACCCCCTACTGGGGATATGCCCGCAACCAAGGTACATGCCCTTGACCGGAATCGAACCCGGGACCTTTCAGTCCCCAAGCCGACACTCTATCCATTGAGCCAAACCGGTTTCGGCTAAAATATATATATTTTTTAAAAATATTCCCTGCAGTAAAAAAATGTTTATATCTAAAGTTTTAATATATCCCAATACATAAAAAGATACTTTAGGAATAATACAGTATCAAATACCTAAAAATAATTTATGATAGAAAAGTAAAAGAAAACAAAAAAAAAATGTGCTAGAAATCTTTTCAGAACAGCTTAGAAGCAAAACAATGACTACAGATAACGAGCGAAATTGCCATGGAAAGCTGCTGCTGTTGTCATTCAGGCAGACTTTTATTTTGCTTTTATCCATGATTATATTTTAACAATTTTCAACTAAAATATTATCGCCCATATTAAGTCCAAACAAACAAATGTTAAGAGGACACAAAGCCAACTGTGATTTCATGTTTTTATTTAGTGTGAAATGTCTTAGAACCGTATTTCAGGTAATAAAAGCCTCTATGCTAGGTGAGTAGAAAGGCAGTCTTTACCAGCATGATTTAATAAGGACAACTTGGTTATCTGCATAAAGATTTTTATTCAAAATCCTTTCACATTTGTAGATCACATTGCAGAAGTTACCTTCCAAGTGGCATCCATTTTGGTCTCTTATTGATCGAAGGTTAAATAAATTGCTGTTACTTGAGCAATTTTCATTCTCTGGCACAAACAGCCAAAGAATTCTATCTGTCACAACAAAATCTACAGGTCACATGTGAATTCTATCTCTCTTTATGTGAAAATTCCTTTATAAAGAAAGCATAAGAAAACACTGACACTAAGCCTATTGATAAAGGGGGTCTATTATAACTAAAACATTAAGTTGAAATACCTTGGCACATAATTAGCAGGTAAGGATAGTCTCTTATTAACTAGTTAATGATGAAAAGTGAATAAACCAGTTTCTGGCTATAAAGATGTTTACTTTTCCTTTTGTACACATACATCAAGAAAATATACTATAAGACTAAATCAAGTTCCTAAATTCAGGGGGGGAAATAATCAGATTTTAAATGTTTTAACTTCGATATATGTCATATAAAAAACAAATTCTCAATCAAAAATGTTTTTCTACTAGCAAAGGGAAAAGGTCAACATTCTTTTTTATACCTATCTTTTCTTTCATATAAGAAATACATATTTTTTAAAAAGCTAAACTCAATAATAAATGCTCTAAGAGAAATTAAAACAAGAATTCTATTTCAGCAACTGTAATTTCAACAAAAAGGGAAAACAAAACTGTTTTTCACAGAAACTTTAGAAAAACACCTGGCAAATATAAGCTCATTGGCTTGCAACAGTCTTGAATACCAATATTCTTTAAACTAATTTCATGATGGAGACATAAACCAAGAGAGATAAAATTACTAAATAATTCATTTATGTTGAAAAATGTACTTTGGTGCAAGAACAACACTCAACCAACTGGAACTGGAGAACATTATGCTAAGTGAAATAAGCCAGTCAGACAAAAACAAGTACCATATGATCTCACTCATTTGTGAAATTTAATGAGCAAACCCAACTACTAAGAAAACAGAGACAGACTCATAGAGAGCAGGCATACACGGAGGGGGGGGGGGGGTTAGAGGGGAAGGACAGAGGGGACTCGAAGGCAGAGTGGAGGGATTGAGCAAAAAAGAAAAAAAAAAAGAGAACTCATGGACTTGGACAACAGTGTGGGGATTGCAGGACGGTGTGTGTGGAGGTAAGAGAGGATACAGAAGGGATAAACGGTGATGAAAAAAATAAAACAGAAAAGAAAAATGTGGCTCGGGTTGATGTGAAAAAAGTGAGAAAACCCAGTGGATTCTTCCCTATTTTACTGACTTGCAAAGATTTTCCTCCTGCTGAACAGATAAAAATGACTTTGAGTGCCCTTTACCGATCCCATTCTTTTTGCATTAAGGTTATGAACAAAGTAGAAATATTTTAGCCCATCAAATGTTGCGAGCGCTAGCTCTGAAATCTATCCTACTTTCTAACTTTTTCTAGTATAGCAGTGGTCCAAGCTACTAACCTTCTCTAGTCTAAACCACAATGAGAACTTACTAAAACAGTCTTCTTGCTTTTACACTTACCCCTGTGCAATCCATCTCCACAGAGAAGCCTAAACAATCTTTTTAAAACATAAATCAAACCTTGTCATTTCCCTGTTTTAAAAAATTTCTCAATGGCTTTCATCAAAAGTAAGAGTCAAATGGAGGCCTATGCAATTGGATATCTGCCAAACTCTCCTTGCCCACTCTTTTCATGCTGGCCTCATTCCATTCTTCAAATTAGTTTCTCAACCTTGGCACCATCGATACATTGGGCAAGACCAGTGACAAACTCATTAGTCACTAGAGCCAAATATCAGCAGTACAACGATTGAAATTTCTTTTGAGAGACAAATTTTTTAAACTTCAATTTCTTCTAATGCCACTCCTTCAACATAGACTCGCCCAGATTGGAATTTTGTGGAAGAGCCACACTCAAGGGGCCAAAAAGCCGCATGTAGCTCACAAGCCGCAGTTTGCCGACCCCGGGGCAAGACAGTTGTTCATTGTGGGAACTGTCTGCATTGTGGGATGTTTAGCAGCATCCCTAGCCTCTACCCACTAGGTGCCTGTAGTACCATCACCCTCAGCTGTCACATAACAATATGTTTCAGAGATTCCTTTTAAAGAAGCCAAGCTCATTCCTGCTTCCTGGTCTTTTACCCTCTCGTTCCCTCTATGTGAAAAAATTAGTCCCAAAACTTGAGCTCTATGACTGGTTCCTTTCATTATTAGCTTAGCTGTGTCTGTCTACTCAGAGGCCATCTCTAATCATCCTACATAAACTTGTGCCCATTTCCATCATAGCTACAGCCCAACTCTTAATGTTGTACAGAGTAAATGCTTAAAACATAGACTCTAAAAAAAAAAATACATAAATGTCAGTACTTATGAGAAAATGCTTAAGTGGTCAGATGATAATAGTTATGCATAATGCCACAACAGCACCTGGATATCCTCCTATGCTGTATTTGCTTCATCTTTCAAATGTATACATCCTAATGCACCATTAATTCTTTCTGGTAATATTATTGTCAGTAATAGGGAATGTATATTTGCTCATTGTGCATTAACAAAAATAGCCCAACGCCAGAGTTTGCTTCCACAGAGTGGGAACAGGAGGCATTTGAACTGTTCAGAAGAGACTATGCTGCCGAAAGCACTGAACATCCAACCTCCGGCTAAAAACAGCCATGACAAAGGATCCCAGTTTGTTCCATCATGCACACAAATGGCTCACCATTTTTATCTAAGCAGTCACTCTTTCATTCATCTTATTTTAAGAGGGCACACAAAGGTCAATACTTTTGATTCTCTTTTTAAAGACAGAAAAACATGACTTCAGTTACTTCAAAAGCAAGCAGCTATAATAAGTAAAAAGGAAATATGAGAGTTAAATTGTAATCACTTTGTGTTTTCGTGTGAACTGGTAAATTCAGTCAGTGAACCCTATGCCGAGTAGTTAAACCTGGCAAAATTGTAGTCTCTGGTCAGAATAGTCCAACTGGATTTCATTAATCCCATAAAGGTTGGTTCGCTCATATCACAGGGGGCCTTTTAGTTACTTCTAGAGATGTGTTTGATATCAGTACTTTGAATACATATACATTTCTTCAGAAAATAATACCGTTTTTAAAAATTATGTCATTGCTCTGAATCGCTAAAATATATTTCTAGACATTTAAAATAATAAACACACAATGCAGTGGACAGAGGATGTATTGTGGAAGTGTGCACCTAACACCTATATAATATTGTTAACTAGTGTCACCCCAATACATTCAATAAAAAGTGGAAAAAAATTAAAAATTTTTAAATAAAAAATATCACTGATCATCAGAACAATTGCATAAGAACTTCTGGACAAGTGAGACCTCGCAGACGAGTGTGTGAGGGGAGGAGAACCAGCACATACCAGTTGTGCACCATGAGCTTCTGCACAGCCAGGAGAGCGTTGTAGCGAACCTGCTGGTCTTCATGGTGCATGTGGTTCATCACCAGCTGCTTCCCACCAAGCTGCTCGATGACCCTGCGGAACAGAGGCCACTGTGTGAAGATACTGCAATTACCTTCAAACTCCTGCTGTTAGTCGGCAGAAAGCCCAAACCCCAGGGAAAGTTACAATGCACGTAAGTAAACCAACACATGTCTTTTTTTTCTATCATTTTTTCTATCATTTTCTCCAAATTGTAGTTTTAAGGCATTCAAATATTTCGTCTTTTGCATTTTCTAAGATTAAATCTAATTGCTATTCTCCTTTCTCAATCCAGGCAAGTTTCACCTGCCTGAATATCTCACATAATATTCCTGGTTATAATGTTCTAGGTAGTTGAGTATCAACTTCTTTATTTCTAGTATTTCTGGCCTGCTTAAATCAGTATATTGAATATCATCAAATATTCATAATGTCAATCAATATTGAGTTCACCAGTGGCTGTGCTGTGAGACAGAAATGGGCTCAAGTACAGATTTCAGGGAACACAGAGTTAAAAGCACCTAGTAGAAGCCATGTTAATTTCCTGAAAAAGACTACTGATTTTTAAGATGTCTGCTCTTTCTTGTAACAATAGGATATACCACATGACCTCCTGGGCAGTGAACCAGAGGAGAAAATTCCTCTTGTCAAGAGCACCGTGATGACTGACATTTGGCATTGCTTTCTTTTCTTTTTTTTAAATATGTTTTATTGAGGTTTTTACAGAGATGAAGGGAGAGGGATAGAGAGCTAGAAACATTGATGAGAGAGGGGGATACAGAGCTAGAAACATTGACCAGCTGTCTCCTGGTATATGACCTTGACTGGAATCGAACCTGGGACCTTTCAGTCTTCAGGCCAACACTCTATCCACTGAGCCAAACAAGTTTCAGCAGTTTTTCATATTTTAAACCCTTGTCCCTTGTATCTGCTCATAGTAACACCAGCCAAGAAAATTTTTAAAATTGGCTTTTAATAATTTATTTACTACACATTCATTTTCAAACTATACATATTACTGTCCTCCATCCCAGAGATTCCAGTGGGTGTCAAAGAGGAATAAACTATCTCCACTCCACTGATACATGTTGCTATAAAAACAGACATTTCCCTCTTCCAAATTTAAGATGCAAATGAACCAACAATTACTTTCAGATTATACAGATGTCCAAAAGCATAAATGCTTGAAAAAAGTGGTGAAAAATAATCTTTCCAGTTGGCAGATTAAGACAAGATATCATTAAAAAGGCCGAATATTTAGATAATTTAATTTAGAGCTACATTCTAGTACTTTAATAGCTACTACCTAATAGAAAAAACCTTGCTAAACATATTTCAAAACAAATCAAGTCAATAGCATGTTAAGCTTTAAAGACTTGCAATATTATAATACACAATTAACAAGCTCAATACTGGTAATAACATTTGAAGAATGTACCAGCTGGTGAAACAGAGAAACATTATTTTAAATTTTTTAAATATCCTAAGAAGCACAGCACTACTTTTTGTTTTTGTTTTTGTTCTAAAGGTCTTTTTCCCCATTAAATATGATTCTATAATATGATATAAAGTATAGTTTGATATCAGGTAGGCAGCAAAATCTCGGCCACTTCAGCAATATTTTTTCTGATACATTGCCTTGGACAAGGGAAGCAAAAGAAAAAATAAACAATTGAGACTATACCTAAAAAGTTTTGCACAACAAAAACCATCAACAAAATGAAAAGAAACCCACTAAGTGGGAGAACATATTTGCCAATGATACATCAGATAAGGGGTAAATATCCAAAATGTATAAAGAACTTATGCAAGTCAACACCCAAAGAAAAAAAAAAAGATCCAATTAAAAAATGGGCAAAGGACCTGAATAGACCCTTCTCCAAAGAGGACATACACATGGTCAAAAGACATATGAAAAAATGCTCAATGCCACTAATCATCAATGAAATGCAAATGTTAAATACAGTGATATATCACCTCACACCTGTCAGAATGTTTATCATCAATAAATCAACAAACAGCCGAAACCGGTTTGGCTCAGTGGACAGAGTGTCGGCCTATATGGACTGAAAGTCTCGGGTTCGATTCCGGTCAAGGGCATGTACCTTGGTTGCGGGCACATCCCCGGTAGGGGTGTGCAGGAGACAGCTGATCAGTGATTCTCTCTCATTGATGTTTCTAACTCTCTTTCCCTCTCTCTTCCTCTCTGTAAAAAATCAATAAAACATATTTTAAAAAATAAATAAATAAATAAACAAACAAACAACAACAGCTGGCCAGAATGTGCAGAAAAGGGAACCCTCTTGAACTATTGGGAATGCAGACTGTGCAGTCACTGTGGAAAACAGTATGGAGTTTCCTCAAAAAATTAAAAAAGTAAGTACATTTTAACCCAGCAATCCCACTTCTGGGAATATATCCTAAGAAACCTGAAACATCAATCAGAAAGAATATATGTGTCCCTATGTTTACTGAGTATTATTTACAACTAGAGGCCTGGTGCATGAAATTTTTGCACTTGGGGGGGTCCCTCAGCTCAGCCTGTGCCCTCTCGCTGTTCAAGAGCCTTCGGGGATGTCTGACTGAAGGTGGGAGCGAGTTTAAGCTGTCAGTTGTTCATCTGTAGCATGGAGGTGGGAGAGGCTCCCACCACTGTCACTGCGCTTGCCAGCCATGAGCCCGGCTCAGGTCTTCTGGCTGAGCAGCACTCTCCCTGTGGGAGTGCACTGACCACCAGGGGGCAGCTCCTGCGTCTGCCCCTTGATAGTCAGTGCACATCATAGCAGCCGGTTGTTCTACCGTTTGGTCAATTTGCATATTAGCCTTTTATTATATAGGATAACCAAGATCTGGAAACAGTCCAAATGCCTATCAGTAGATAAAAAAGCTGTGGTGTATTTACATAGTAGAATACTACTACTTGCCTTAATAATAGAAGAAAATCTTAGCTTTTGCGACAACATGAATAAACCTGGAAATTATTATACTAAATAAAATAAGCCAGTCAGAGAATGACAAATATTGTATGATTTCACTTATATGTGGAATCTAATCAACAAAATAATTTAACAATCAAAATATAAATAAAGGCATAGATAATAGAACAGACTGACAGCAAATTCTGCTTCAGATGAACCATCATAAATTTTTGGAATCCATCAATATAAGGCAGCCTGAGCTACAACAAATCAGGTATTTTAAAAAACAAGGTGAAGATAAAAAATAATAGGTTGCATGGACACTTTGGGAGAAGAAGTAATTTCTCTACTGGAAGGAATACCTCTCCATCTAGTCATTGACATGATGTTATATGATCCTATGTAATAAAAACCTAATATGCAAATTGGCCAAATGGTGGAACGACTGATTGCTATGACACGCACTATCCACCAGGGAGCAGATCAGCCGTGGGGACCCTACCTGTGCATATATTTTGTGCACCAGGCTCCCAGTGTTTAAATATTTATACACAATAAGGACAAAGAAATTATGAAGTAATTATGAAATGTGAAACTCTGCAACTACAATATGGCTCTGGCAATTTTTCCTCACATTCTATGATGTTCTGGGTTTATATGATACTTTTTTATAATAAATAAAATAAACATGCCTTCCTTATATATAGTTTTAATGAATATAAAATATTAACATTAATAATAATAAAAGTAGCTAATACTTATTGAGAACTTACTATGTACTAACAACACTGTTCTAATAACTGTACTTAGATTAACTCATTTACTCTTCATATCACCCTCACCAGAAAGGAATATGATTATCATCCCAATTTTATAAATTAGGAAACCAACTACCAAGTGGAAAAGTAATAATTTAAACCAAGGCACTTTTCCAAACAACAAAAAATGGCCCTTTGTTCAATGTAATGCCTTATCCCTTCTATTGGCACCTTGACCTCTTATTTTTCAAAAGAAAAAAAAAATCCTATCTTTTCATTGTTAATGAAGCTAGTAAGTGATTTTAAATTATGAGGTCAGCCTCAACTCCTCTGTAAAGCCTTACCTGTCTCCTCACACATGCAATTTCTTTAATACTTTTAAATACATACATTAATTCAATTATTATACATCTCCTGTAACTTTTCTTTCAGGTGTTATATTTCCTTTTATACTTTAAACCTGCTGAGTTCAAAGTTAGTATAAATAGTAGTTGAAAAATAACCATAGCTCATAAAATAGCTATTGAATTAACTCATATAAACCAAAGAAAATCCTCAATATGAAATTTCTATGATCTCTGTTGGCTACTAGACTATAGTAGTATACAGGTGTACTTATATTTTTCTACTACCCATTTAATTAAGTTTATCATAATTCCCAGTATTATGGTAATCTTGATTTCACATACTCTGTTAATTCCTCTGCTAAACTACCCTATTTTAAGACATGTACATCAGGATTCTATGTTGACTGTTTCAGAAAACCCCAATGATACTAATGGCTTGTCTGTTACCGTTTGCCTCGGGGATAATGCCGCACATATTCTCCAACATCATGAGCAGCAACAGCTAAGACTTGTGGATCATCTGATACTTCAAGAAGTTTTGTCAAAATTCTAAAATAAATCGAATGCAAAAAGATATCAATTTTTGATCCTTCTATAGAATACAAAAGAACACAAGTATAACAAGGATATCTTCCCCAAAATAAACATTTTGTTCAAAATACGTACCAGTATGAATTTATGAAGCTCGCTTACTTAGTTTCTGAACCATCACTTAAGACTGTGCTCAAGATTTCTCTGCCTACCTTTTTCTATCACATGTCAACCTGTCAAATAGCTGAACTTATAAACAACAGGAAGTCCTGATAAAGAACCTTTTGTCAATTCAGGAATCGTTTCATTATAAAGTAACTACAGTAGTCCTGTGCACAAATCCGTGTGCCAGTAGCTCTCTGCGGGGTCTGACCGCTCCGCGCCTGCTGCCTAGAGACTCTCCTCGGTCCAGAGGCCCATCCATAGCCGGGCGCGGAATGCTTGCCTCATTGCTGGGGCAATGACACAAGTGTTCCCTGCCGTTCTGTGCCCGCTGCCCAGAGGCCCTCTGTGGCTGAGGTGGAATGTTTGCCTCGTCATTGCCGCGGCAACTAAGCGTTCAGCCAGGCTGCTCACACTGCCCACTTTCAGCAGCTGCCCCCTGGGACTGGGGGACTCCAGCAGGGCTGAGAGAACTGGGCGCCGCCACCTTGTGGCTATGGGCGCTGCCATCTTTGTGATGGAGTGACAGTTAATTTGCATATTACCCTTTTATTATATAGGATTCCACACTTCTTCTAGGCTAAGTGGGCAATCTGCATTTCCAAATAAGAGAGGGAAAAGGAATGAGCATTTACTATACACATGCATGTTCCAAACTCTGGGTAAATCATATTCCTCACAACAATCCATAAATGAGGAAATGAGAGCCAGAGAAGTTAGGTAATTTACTAAGGACACAGCAAATGTTGAAACTGAGATGTGAACTATTACTTGCTGACTCTAGCCCACACAAAGCGCAAAGCACACCCTGGTGGCAGTTCATTCAGCCCAAGCACATGAAAACCCACTGGGGAAAAGCAAAAAATACATTCAAGGTCCCACATTTATATTTTTAAAATTTCAAACTATGTTCTTTTAAAAGGCCAACTTGCAAATTATTCTGAAATTAAGTTTAATTCAACTGAAACAATTTAAATTTCAAAAGATTAAATTATTTCAATGACATTTTACTTTGACATTTTATTAAGAAATTACTTTATGAAACAGTAAGAAAAATATTATTAACATGGGAGTCTTTAAAAGCATAACAGAATATTTGTTCTGAATACCTTAAACCAGAGGTCAGCAAATTAAAGCTGAAGTCCAAACTCTGCAGCCACTGTTTTTATAAATAAAGTTTTATGGGCATGCAGGCATACTCGTTAGTTTACTCACTGTCCATGTCTGTTTTGGCACCAGGAGGACAGAGCTGAGTATCTGGTGACAGAGACTGATTTCCCAGTTAGTCTGGAAGAAGGTGTGGAATTATTTTATAGTGCAATGATTCCTAGACTGGTAATAGGTTCTTTGTCAGTGCTTCCAATTGTTTATAGAGTTAGCTATTTGAAAGGCTCAGGTGATGATAGAAAAAGGTAGGCAGAGAAATCTTGAGCCAGTTATTATAAAACTGAATCACAGACCCAGCCCTAGAGCTATTTAGAATCTTCATTTTAACGAGATCGCCATAAACATTTAAAAGCATACTTAGAATCCTCAATAAAAATATCCAGGAAAATAAGTTCTGAAAAAAAGATTCTTGTGGTAAGCAAAGAGAGAGCTTTCTCTAATTTATGCCTGAACACAGCTGTTGTATCAACAATGGATTCATCACAACCCAAATCTGTATCACCACATCGACCTCAGGCCAAGATTCTGTCAGACACTCCAATGGAATCAACACAGCAACATATCACAGCTTTGGAATTAGATCAAATGTGAATGTTGACTTTGATATTTGCTAGAAAGGTAATCGTGAAAAGTGTCTATACAAATCCAAAATAAAAATCACATTATTATTCTAACTGATCACTCCCAATTTTTGCTCTTGTTCTCTTTCACAATATTTTCCCTCAATTTTACAAACTTGTTCCTTCAGCTTTTGCTTTTCTCTTAATTATAATCTACTAAAAAAGAAGATTAAAAAAATATGAACATGCCTGGCTGGCATGGTTCAGTGGTTGAGTATGGATTTATGAACCAGGAAGTCATGGTTTGATTCCTGGTCAGGGCACATGCCCAGGTTGTGGGCCTGATACCCAGTGTGGGGCATATAGGAGGCATCATCTCTCTCATCATTGCTGTTTCTCTCTCTCTCTCTCTTTCTCTCTCTCTCTCTCTCTCTCTCTCTCTCTCTCTCTCTCTCTCTCTCCCTCTCTCTCCCTTCCTCTCTGAAATCAATAAAAATATATTTTTTAAAATTATGAACAATAAAATGGTAATAAATACACATCTATCAACAATTGAATCTAAAAATCAAAATAAACAAGGAATCTAATGAACTAAATAAACTGATGAATAAAATAGAACCAGAGGCATGGAAACATGGAACAGACTGACAAATTTCAGAGGAAAGGGGGGCAGGAGGGGCGGGAGGAGATTAACCAAAGAGTTTCTATGCATTACCTATGGACATGGACAATAGGGTGGTGAAGGCCTGGGCTGGGCTGGGGTGATAACCGGGTGGAGGGGGACAATGGGGAAAAAATGGAGGGGACCTCTGTAATATTCTCAACAACAACAACAACAAATGTTTAAATTATAAACTGCATGGTTTCTTGTATTTCAGAATATTTCCTTATTCAAATTACATACTTATTTCAAAATTATAACATACAAGATTAGAAAGTATTTTCTAAAAACTATTATACTCAAGAGTGATAAAGGCAAAAATGAACATATATCACATACTTACTAAGTTTGGAATTACATGAAAAATAGGTTAGAGCCTGACATCAGTGCAGTTCTCCACAGAAAACAAGTACTATGTTTTTTTAATATCAGAATAAAATAAAAGATTTCATCTGTACCTAGTTTATCAGCTACTTTGAAGGGCAGCCTGAGTATGCCCCACCTGTCAATCATCCCCTTGCAGATAATTTAAGAGAATGAAAACTAAAGATAAGCAACTACTTCAAATTTCTCATCACATTAGCATAGAATAAAAGTATAGTGCCACATGACATTGTTTCTGGTTATTCAGAAAAATCACAAAGGGTCATGCAAAGGTAAAGGAAGTAATTTAAGAAGGCCATATAAATGAAAAACCTAATGTTAGAAAACAAAACATGCACTTCAAAAGGCCCTTTAACTTTGTCATAACAAAAATGCACGTAGTGCTTCAATAACACTTTGTAAAAAGCTCCTTCCGTTTGAGCTCATTTTGTTGTTAAAAACTCAAAGTGGCGTGCTGAAAGGATAATTCACTCCTTCCCTCTACTTATGCTCCATCACTCCTCCAACATCTACCGTCCACTTTGGCTTGCCACACTTTAAGTAGAAATATATTATTTGGAGTAATTCACAGAAAACAAAGTCTAAACAACAGAAATACCCATAATATGCACATCCATAGAAACAGAAAGTAAATGAGTGGTTGCTTAGGGTTGAGTGGATGGGTAAATAGAGAGGGTATAGCTAAAGAATATGAGGTTTCTTTTGAAGTGATGAAAATATTCTAAAATTGACTGTGTTAATGATTACATACATTGTGAATATACTAAAAACTACTGGTTTTTATACTTTAAATGAATGAATTGTGTGGTATATAACATCTCTATATATAAAACCCTAACATGCAAATAGACCGAACAGCGGAACAACCGAACAACAGGTCACTATGATGGGTGCTGACCACCAGGGGGGTGCACGAAACATAGCGGGTGTCGGGAACAGCAGAATGGTGGAGCAAGTGAGTAGGGGCACCAGACCAAGGCAGGGGGCCAGTCGTTACTATTGGGGCAAGCCTCTTGTGGTTACTGAAAATTCTTTGCTTCTGCCCTCGCAGTTGTGCTTGACACTTGCATCTACTGCCAGCGCCAGACCCAGTTGCACCCACTGCATGAGCCACCACTCACACCTACTGCTGGTGCCCAGAACCAGTCTTTTTTTTTCTTTTCTTTCTTTCTTTTTTTTTTTTTTTAATATATTTTATTGATTTTTTACAGAGAGGAGGAGAGAGGGATAGAGAGCTAGAAACGTCGATGAGAAACATCGACCAGCTGCCTCTTGCACATCCCCTACCAGGGATGTGCCCGCAACAATGTACATGCCCTTGAATGGAATTGAACCTGGGACCTTTCAGTCCGCAGACTGATGCTCTACCACTGAGCCAAACCGGTTTTGTCATCAGAGCCAGTCTTGATAGCACAGTGCCATCAGCGGGTGCGAACAGCAGCTGCTGGCTCTGATTGTCTCTGGGGGCTTATCTCGGCCCCCAGGGGCTGAGTGGGGGTGTGGAGGATGGGCTGAGACCTGCTCCAATTGTCCCTGGGGGCTTCTCTACCTCCCCCTAGTCCTTAGGGGTGATTGGGGCAACAGGTGCTGCTGGCACCAGCTGATAGCACTGGCCCTGCTCACACCCTCTGCTGTCGCTGGCTCCAATTGCTCCATGTTGTCAGAGGGTGCAAACGGGGCCAGTGCCATGAGTGTGTGGGAGCAGTGGCAGCAGCAGCAGGGCTGCTGGCAGACAGGGAACCCAGGGGGCCGTGGTGGGAGGGGCAGGGTGGGGGTGTGGAGGATGGGCCAAGACCTGCCCCGGTGCCCACCGCAAACCCCTGTGGCAACCACAGCCTCACAGTCCACAGTTTCCTTCAAGGAGCACAAATTCATGCACTGGGCCCCTAGTATCTCAATAAAAAAGAAAGTGGAAGGGAGGTAAACACTTGCACATCTTATTACAAGAAAAGGAACCCTCAAAGCTGTGGGGAAAATGTTACTTTCAATAAAAAGTGCTGGATCAATCAGATATCCCTGTAATGAAAAAAATTAATCTTGACCCCTACTTTATACTTTACTCAGAAAGCAATTCCATATGAAATGGAGATCTAAATATGAAAGGTTAAACAACAAAGCTTCTATCAGATAACACAGAAATATATCTTCATTACCTTGGGTATGCAAAAGCATCTTAAACAAGACATAAAAAAATCACTAGCCATTAAGAAAAATATTAATAAATTGAGCTACATTAAAACTAAAGAGTGAAATAGTATGTGACAAAGTAGGAAAAAATAGTTGTGATGAATATATTATATATGTATATATACATATATATATAAAAAAACACATTCATAATATATATAGAATTCCTATAAAATGAAGAAAAAAAATACTTGAGGTACTTCTCCTAGAAAAAAAAATATATAAACTCCCAATAAGTATATGAAAAGGTATTCAACCACATTAATAAGCAAGAAAATCTAAATTAAAACCACAGAATAACTAAATCTAGACTAACAGAAACATGTCTGTGAAGATATAGAACAACAGATATTAGAGTATAAATTGGAATTTAAAACTTACTTCAAAAGTTCATAATTCTTTTCATTTAACCTTACAGCATTTTCTCTCCAAAATTTCTCAGATTTGTGCACAGGACTCCATTCCAATCTTCCAGATTTAAGTTCTGAACTGTATTCATCAAAGGAGCTATAAAATTTTTTTTAAAGAATTCAGAGTTTATACAAATCTCAATGATCCTCCAAATTAAGCACAATAACATCTTCATTAATGATTTAACTACAAAGACTAACCATCCTTTGTAAATTAACAAAATTCCACTAAACAAAGTTTAAAGAGCTAAAATAAACTTTATAAATCATGTGAAATTTACTCAGAATACTCAGGTCCAGTTCTGTAAATTTGAATGCTCATCATGAGATATTAAAAGGAGTACTAGCTTTCGAAATCCCTACCCTAATATATCTTCTATATATATAAAAGCCTATATATATATAGGCTTTTATATATATAGAAGATATATTAGGGTAGGGATTTCGAATATATATATATATATATATATATATATATATGTAAGACCAGTCACTATGATGTGCAGTGACCACCAGGGGGCAGACGCTCAATGCAGGAGCTGCCCCATGGTGGTCAGTGCACTCCCACAGCACCATATATGTAGGAACTTGAGAAAAGCAGGAAAAATATACTTTCCATATGTGGACAAAAGTATTCCAAAAATTAACAAGCATCACTGCTTTAAAAAATTTAAACCTGGGAGATATTCTTCAAGGTTTCCATAATAGTGTTAACTACCTGAGGCAGTACAGTCAGTCCAACTTTAAAAAGAAAATGATGGAACTCTCCCCAAAGAGAAGAAATAACACACAGCTCTGACTAACTGTCACCATAGCGATGAGCCAGTTTTTCCATATTCTCCAAATATTTAATAGAAGACATAATATCTTAATGAAATCTTTTGTGTTTATATTTAGCAACAAATTTAAATTTCCTTAAAATACTAACCAAGTAAAACAAAACCCAAAATCTGTGAGAATTAAAAATAACATACCTAAGATCCTGAACACTCTCCCCAAGTTTTTCCAAAAGAAATTTTATATCTTCGCTGATGTCTTCGTCATCGTACTTTTGCTGTTCCAAGTTCTCTAACTGTTTGAGAACTTTGCACTGGATCATAGCCAAAGCATATTCTTGGCGAGTTTCTCTTTCAGTTGATTTTTCTAAAAAGTTCTGGGTTAGACAAAGATATAAGAAGCTATGTAATTTGTTATGTGATATTCTCAGACCTCTGCACTTCCTTTTACACCCTTTCTCCTCCTCCTATTGACAGGTTAACTATCACCTTTAAGTGGATAACTGTATTGCAGACCCTTCTTTCCTAAGCATCAGAAATGTATTTCTGACTCCTTGCTTACTTATTTAGCTTACTAAACATTTTAAACAATTGACCCATATAAGTCTCAAACACTGAACACATTTATAATTAAATCCATCACAATCCTTTCTCACAGCCTGCTCCATTCACTGGCCACCAAGATCACTTAAGATATGTTTCTCTAGTTTCCAGACAGTCACCTTCCCCTCTCTCTCCCTCCTATCAACCGATAGGTGCAGAAAGGTCAGCAATAAGGAACTCTCTTGCTTGAACAATTGTCAGAAAAGTTTTGACATTCAGGCAAAGTTCCTAGTTTTTCTCCTATGATTTTTTTTAATATATTTTATTGATATTTTATAGAGAGGAAGGGAGAGAGATAGAGAGCTAGAAACGTCGATGAGAGAAACATCAACCAGCTGCCTCTTGCACACCCCCTACTGGGGATGTGCCCGCAACCAACGTACATGCCCTTGACCGGAATCGAACCCGGGACCTTTCAGTCCGCAGACCGGCGCTCTACCACTGAGCCAAACCGGTTTCGGCTGATTTTTTTGTTTTTAAATGTAAATTTGCACATTTTTTAAACGTGATTTAATATTAGAAAAGTATACTCTTTGGCTCAGCAACTCCATCTCTAGAACTATATCCAACAGAAATCCTCATCAAAGCAGGCAAACATTTATAGAAAAACCCTACATGCCCATCAACAGAACACTGGTTAAATAAACTGCTTTATATCAACACAGCAGAATATAGCCATTAAAAAGAAGACTGAAGATCTACACATATGAAACTGAAAACATACTCATTAGATATTGTTAAGAGTAAAGCTATAGAATAGTATTTATCATAAGATGACTATATATATATATATATTATTGATTTTGTACAGTGAGGAAGGGAGAGAGATAGAGAGTTAGAAACATCGATGAGAGAGTCATCGATCAGCTGCCTCTTGCACACCACCTACTGGGGATATGCCCCCAACCAAGGTACATGCCCTTGACCGGAATCGAACCCGGGACCTTTCAGTCCCCAAGTCGACACTCTACCCATTGAGCCAAACCGGTTTCAGCCATAGTATGACATTTTTATTTTTAAATACAAAACAAAATTACACACCTATTTATATATTTATTTCTACATGCTTAGAAAAATGAGGAAGATGTTAGTAATATTAGTTAAAAGCAGATTCCGAAGCAATAGCTTGGATTTGCATGTCTACCACATATTTTATAGTTGCTTCAGAAATTCTGCTAGTCGGTAGATCCAAAATCTGAAATGCAATTCCATACCACAATAAGGGTCCCATAAGAGAAAAACCTCAATCATAGTTTCTTGGAAAACACTGTAACAACAACCAAAAATTACTTCCTTTTTTTTATTGAGGTTATTGGGGTGACACCGAGTGTACAACTCAACAAGACATCTGCATGCTGCACCAGGCATCCATTGCCCAAAGTATAGTCTCTTTTATGTTCTCCTTTATTCCCCCTTCACCCTTTTCCACCTCCCACACCCCTTTCTCTCTGGCTAGGCAATCACCATACTGTTGTCTATATCTATGTGTTATGTATTTTCAAAAAGGGATTTCCCCTATCTAAATTCAATGCAATTACATTTTCTTACAAGCATTATATAACTCATACATTCCCACCTGTCCCATTCCCACATGGCATAAATACAAATCAGTGGGGGGTTTTTTATTCTATGTCCACCAAGATACCATAGTTTCATAACTACATGAAGAACAAGTAAGTTTTTCCAACCTGCTAAAAGGCCTGGAACATACTCCTCAGTGAAAATGCCACACACACACACACACACACACACACACACACACACACACACCATTAAAAAATGCCACAAACCACTTACACGGAATGCTGCAAGGATGATTCTTGTCACTTTCTCTTTGACAGATTCTTGCAGGATATCGGACAGGACAGGAATGATATTATAGCGCCGCAGGTGCTCACACATTTGAGGACTGAACGCCAGGAGCCATATTGAAAAAATCATTTGATACTGGAGCTGAAAGCCACATTTGTTGCTCAAAACTCCCATTATGCTGAAAAGGAACAAACATTAAGACATTTACTATGACAGTGTAACAAGAAAGAAGAAATAATTGATTATTCTTTTTGAACTAATGGAACAAAATTAGGTCCTCAATATCTTTTCTGCCAGCAATAACAAGCAAGCTTGATTCCTTCTCAGGATCATTTGCAGCACAGATTCACTTAAGTCTCTCCAAAAGTTACAGGACTGCAGAGAAGCAAAGAGAAAGGAAACACTAACTTTGTAATACAACAGAGGAAGGATAAAAAGGATCTAACAGACATTAAAGAAGCTAAAATCAACAGGATCGGTGACACAATGGATGTACATCTTGGTGAAGTCAGATGTTATATCAAGATTTTGAGTCTGGGTGACCAAGAGGATCATGTATACCTTTAAAAATATTTAGGAAGCTCAGAAAGAAAATAAGCAATTAGCTTGGCCAAAAAAACCCTATAAGTCTAAATTTGACATAGGCAGTCACTGAATTGGGGGGGTTAGAACTTCAGAAGCTTCTAGTTCAACCTCCCATTTAACTGACATGAAAACTTGGAAAGCTAAGTGGAAATGAAAGAGGTTACACCAAGAAAGACCACTAAGATAATTTCCCTGGGGAATGTCTCATTCTCACAAGAAGGAACAGAAACCATCAAATTAGGCCACTGAAGAAGGACCAGAATGTACAACACAAAGAATGAACTCTAATGTAAACTATGGACCATGGTTAATAAGAATTGGTCATTATTGGTTCACCAATTAAAACAAATGCAACCGGGACTGGTTTGGCTCAGTGGATAGAGCGTCGGCCTGCAGACTGAAAGGTCCCGGGTTCGATTCCAGGCAAGGGCATGTACCTTGGTTGCAGGCACGTGCCCAGTGGGGGCTGTGCAAGAGGCAGCTGATCGATGATTCTCTCTCATTGATGTTTCTAACTCTCTATCCCTCTCTCTTCCTCTCTGTGAAAAATCAATAAAAAAATATTTAAAAAAATAAAAAATTTAAAAAAATTTTAAAAATGCAGAAAACTAACACAAGATGTTAATAACAGGGAAAACTATGGAAAGACAGATATATATGGGAACTCTCTGTACTTTCAATTTTTCTGTCAACCTAAAACTGCTCTACAAAATAAAAGTCTATTAATATAAATAAATTGCAAATCTAATTTTACAATCTATTACTACTAACTTACTGGAAGGTTTATATTTGCACCATTTCTCCATTTCTGTGATTTATATGCAGTTATAAATTGCTGAATTGCCTTTCATTTTCTCATGCATGATTTCTCCCTTGAACCTTTTCTATTTTAGTTATTTAAGCCTTGCATTTATCTAATATTAATATCAGTATTTCAACAACTGTAAAATCGTGCAATTTTATTTTATTAAGACTCTAACATTTGCCGAGACCGGTTTGGCTCAATGGATAGAGCGTCGGCTTGGGGACTGAAGGGACCCAGGTTCGATTCTGGTCAAGGGCATGTACCTTAGTTGCAGGCATATCCCCAGTAGAGGGTGTGCAAGAGGCAGCTGGTCGATGACTCTCTCTCATCGATGTTTCTAACTCTCTATCTCTCTCATTTCCTCTCTGTACAAAATCAATAAAATATATTTAAAAAAAAAAAAAAAGACTCTGACATCTGGTTTCCTTTTCTCTCTGATTCTTCCAGTTACTAAGGTAAGCCTTCTACACATTGTGATACTATGGCTGAGACTTTACCAGCTGGTTCTGCCAGTAGGAGGTGCTAGAGGCAGGATGGGGGAAGAAGGGAGTGCCTCCTGTTTGGCTTCCTATTCTTGTGAATATTACTCAGCAGCATTTCTTCACCCTGCAGCTGAATTCATTTAGCAACAGCTCTGGCAGAACAAGCCTCACCGCTCACCCTCAGAGACACCAGCACCAACTATCTGGGTCCCCGACCTATGAGTTCTCTGCTTTGAGCTCAGGGGAACAAGCCCCGGATGAGTAGTACACACACACACACACACACACACACACACACACACACACACACACACACACACACACACACACACACCGTGGTCAAATGGGAGCTTCATTTGTAAATTTAGTTACTGCGACCTCTTACCTTTGTTCCCCAGCTTTAGGCGTATCTGCATTTGCTACCTTTCTGACTCTTGAGAGTCCTTTTATATGCTTGTTTTCAGAAACCTATTTAACAAATGTATACCTAGTTAACACTTCTTCATACTGAATTACCTCTATTAAAATGAAAAATTTTAAATGAACAGAGGGTTTAAGGAGTGCTCAGGGCTGATAATACACTGTTGCTGAAACCAAGCCAGACAGGTTTTAAAGGAGGCATGCTCAGCAAAGATGAGCACCGCAAAGAAGTTGAAAAGAGTTTAAAATTGTCCATAACATATATAATTCTGTTGAAAAGAGAAGTCTTCTATATGCAAATATTAACCACAAGAAATACCCTAATGAAGCAAAATAAAGCTCTTGTTCACCAAAATAAGGAAGGGATTCCTTCAAGGCAAAGAGCCCTGACTGAATACAGTGGAGCATGAAGGGCATACTAAGGAAATGCAAAGGACACAACGGCCCAAGAGAAACATAAACATAGTAATTTAACAAATACTTAGCACTGGACAGAGGGAACCAGGGCAACTCTGTCTTCCTGGGAGAGTGGGTACCGTACCTTCCCAGTGGATGAGCGCTCCCATTGTTAGCAGCCCAGCCTGAGCGGTTCGCTCAGGACTCTGACTGCTGTGTTAGCAGCAAGGGGGAGTGGTGCAGGTCTGGGATTTGGGCCCACACTGTGAAGTGTGGAACCCAAGCAAAGGGGGCTGAGCCTGCTAGTGCAGAGGACACTGCAGGATGTACTCAACCCAAACCTGCAGCCAGCCTCCTTAGGAGGGATTAGGGTTGGAGCCTCTGGAAGAAAATGAGGAGTTTGGCTTTGAAGCACAGAGTAATTTACCCTCTTTGAGTGCCTGGCTGTGTGATCTTTAAGCAGGGTGCCGACTATCCTGAGCTAAACTAGCCTATGAGATATTAACATTAAATAGTCTCTCTTCGGAAGGCTCTGGAGGAAGACCAGCAACCTTAAGAGGGATGCCGAGGAGCTGAAAGGTGGATATTGACCTCAGGGAGCCTCGGCCCAACCACAAATCTACCCCTAGCTCTAAGATAAAAGAAGTTGACCCAAATTGGAAAGGAGGAAGTAAAACTGTCATTATCTGCAGATGACATAATATTGTACATAGAAAACCCTAAAGACTCTACCAAAAAAACTACTGGATATAATAAATGAGTTCAGCAAAGTTGCAGGATACAAAATCAATATCCTGAAATCAATGGCATCTTTATACATCAATAATGAACTCTCAGAAAGAGAAATTTAAAAAACAACCGCATTTACCAATACAACAACAGAAAGATATCTTGGAGTAGGAAGAGGTGGGCAAAAGGGGGCAAAAGGCAAGACACCTGCAATAATGTCAACATTTAAAAATTTAATATAAATAAATAAATAAATAATATAAATATAAATAAATAAACAAATTTTATTATATAAAAAATGCTTATAGGGGTGGGATGGGGGGACTGCCATTTTGTGACTTTTATTTTCTCTTGCCAGGGTAAAAAAAATAATACCTACTTTTTGTTTAATAGAATAAAGTTCAATTTATTTTGCTATTACCACACAGGTCTTTGAAATCTAAGACACAGTGTGGGAGATTAGTGCTTTTGTGTTGTCTATAATTTGAAGATTTACTCTATTTCATCATCCTAGACAATATTTGATACATATCCATTTTTTATTACCAATTAAGGCTAAAAACAATTAACAGCTAAAATTATAAGAAAATTGAAGAATGAAATTGCCTCAGAAAATAATATCAATAGTGACATTAAATAATTATCCTTTCTAATGTATTGGCAAAATATTGCATCATTTTTTAAAAAAAATAGACTGAAGCCGAAATCGGTTTGGCTCAGTGGACAGAGTGTCGGCCTGCGGACTAGAAGGTCCCAGGTTCGATTCCGGTCAAGGGCATATACCTTGGTTGCGGGCACAAACCCAGTAGGGGGGGTGTACAGGAGGCAGCTGGTCGATGATTCTCTCTCATCGATGTTTCTAACTCTCTATCCCTCTCTCTTCCTCTCTGTGAAAAATTAATAAAATATATATATTTTTTTAAATAGACTGAAAACATCATCGTTTTTGTCTACCTTTATTAACATCATCATCCTATGACTGCTATCCTTAAAAAGATCTGCCTAGAAACTGGCTGGCCCTTGGCTGGCTTCTGGGAACTTGATGGTAGAGAGTTCCCTGCACTGACACAAAACTTCTAAAATGTTCTCACTAACAATCTGTTTAGGCTGACACAGCACCAGAATTGTTCAGTCAACTTTTCGTACTCTGAAGCCTTGTTCACTAAGCAACCTTCTGTTGATAAACTAGCTTCCTCTATAGATTTTTCCAACATGTGAGAGAAACAATGTCTTCACTAACTTAAAAGAGTATTTGGTTTAAGTGAGCTATCTCACTATGAATAAATAGATTGGCCTTCTGGTAGCAAAAGAGGATTTCTTCGTTTTGGGGGATTGAGGTATTCTTTGTACAAATACACTTATTAAACCCGAGAAAGTTCCTCAAAGTTTCTGGACCTGCAAATGAGGACCCCACAAAAAATGGACTAATTATATAGCATTACAAAGAATGGCTTATATTCACTCTTTTCTGCATAAGACCTTTTCTTATTGATTTTTGCCTGCATTTACCACAAGATACCTTTATGAATGTTTTTCTATTCTGAGTACCTGGAATTCATTCTATCAAGATAAGGTTTTTAGGAGTCCTTAACCTCTTATAATAGCACAGTCCAAACAAGGGAAAGGAGAGACATTCCATCTGATAGTAATTAGTTATTGATTTCTCTGAAGGTTAGCATAGTTCACTGTTAAAGAGACATTTTAAAAAAGTTAAATACTTCTTTTGGATGATTTATACTATTAATTTCTTTGCAAATGTCAAGGATGCTTTTAAACATTATTCTACATTAAAATTAAAAGAACACTCACCAGTTTACCCCATCTGCTTCTACCCAGGCAAAGCGGTACTCATTGACCCGAAGCATCAGCTGCAGACACCCAGCAACACACTGCACATACTGAGAGCTCTACGCAGGGAGAAGTACAAGGTTTTAAGATTGGAAAGCACTGAAAGTCATGAGACCATGCATATACAAAAAGTCTGGATTTTTTTTTTTAACCAGTTTCTTACCATTAGGACATTCAAAAGCCCCTAATATTTTTTCAAAAGTCAATCCACATTTTTGTGTTTCTCTCTGCCTTTTAGAAATAAAGCAGATCTTCTCTGCCAAATTAAATCTACACAGGTCAAGACTACTTAACATTAGAGAAGTTAAGGAATATAGTAATTATATATTTGATATGGTTTGATAATTACTTTGCAATATTTCATTTCCCATGAATAGAGGCACTATATGGAGAATACTATTATTTGTAATTAGAGAAAGATCAAAAAAGAATAAAATTTAAAAGCTATAAGTATATACTTTGAGACAGGCCTATATTTGAATGATCTTGGTCAAGTAACTGAACTTTTTTTTTTTTTAATTCTCATCCGAGGATATTTTTCCATTGATTTTGAGAGAGTGGAAGAGAGAGGAGAAAAGTCAGAGAGAAACATATCAATAGGTTGCCTCCAGGGCTGGCTTAAGCTCAGCGGTTCCTTCATCTGGCGGTTCTTTGTCAACAGGTTGCCTCCTGAGGAGGAGTCTGCAACCAAGGTACGTGCCCTTGACTAGAATCGGACCTGGGACCCTTTGGTCCATAGGCCGACAGGCTAGCCACTAAGCCAAGCCAGCTAGGGCTACTGGACCTTTTCAATACTCAGTTTCTTCATCCTTAAAGAGGATGCCTTCTCCAAGCACCTGAAAAAATATTGTTAAAACTAATAAAGTAATTCATTTAGCATACAGCTAGATATTTCATAGAAACTCAATAAATAAGAACCTTAAAAAAACTATACAGCATATAAAAAGTCTAATTAAACACTTGAAAAAGACTCTATAATTTTTAAAAGCTAATAGTTTAAAGCACTGTCTTAGAGAAATTGTGGTTAAAGCTGAAACTACAAATGAACAGAGATAATATCCCCAGGAATATATAGGGTCCTCCATTTTAGCAAAGCTAGTAGTAACATCTGGCTTGGGCTCTACTCTACATATTTACCGTGAGCCTTACATCTACGTATAAGAAATAAAGAGTCAAGAGATAATTTCAGACTCTAGCTTTAAAGAGCATGCTAATAAATAATTTTTTAAAAGAGGAAAAAAAGAAAGAAGAGACTCATGGATGTTCAATAAATTCACTAATATACTAGTACACATTGTTTTAACTTAAATGTTAAAACCTAACACTTCAAAGAAATTCCAGGCACTCAAATACGAAACCACAATGATAAAAGTATATTTGGCAGATTAATCAAAAGTTATCAGAAAAATTTTTTTATCTAGAACATAGTGAACATAGTTGTCCAAAGGCACAATATACCCAGTAATATAATTTGCCTGAAAACTCAAGACATTAGCAGAAATTAATGACCAAAATAAAAGTGAATCTTCAGTTCTAAAGCAATATTCCCTAATGGAAAAAAAAATGTTTACCTTCCAATTAAGTAAGCAGATAGTAATCCTCTGTGAAAGAGGAAGTCCACCTTATTTAGAGAGACAGACTTAGCAAGGTTCCTACAGATCATCAATTAAAAGGCAGCTTAAGGTATTCTCTCCTCTTTCATTTAGCAACAATTCCTCTCAACACAAAAACTTCTTGGTTCATTGTATGTCTTTCTTTTCTGTGTTCATTTACCATACTTTTTGAAATATATGACACATTTCAAATATAGACTCTTCATTATTATGTATAGCTTCAGGATTCATGTTATAAATGAATATATATTATAGAAGACGCTGGTTCTAAAACTATGCCCTCTCATATTATACATTACTAGAGGCCCGGTACATGAAATTCATGCACAGGGTAGTGGGGTATCCTTAGCCCAGCCTGCCCCTTCTCCAATCGGGGACCCCTGGAGGGATGTTCAACTGCCCATTTAGACCCGATCCCACTTTGTATCCTTGAGTGGAGGCCTAGGCAGGCCAGGGTGTGTGGAAAGCTTGGCTAACTTTATTGCCGGGGAAACCCAAGCCTCTCTCCTGCTCTCTGTGGCCGCAGCCATCTTGCTTGGGGTTGATTTGCATACTCGCTCTGATGGGCTGATGAGCTTGGCGGAGAGATGGTTAATTTGCATATCATTCTTTTATTAAATAGGATACAAGAGGCCCAGTGCACGAATTCGTGTACCCATTGGGTCCATTGGCCTGGCCTGTGCCCTCTCACAATCTGGGAGCCCTTGAGAGATGTCGGAGAGCTAGTTTCAGCCCCATCCTCGCAGGCCAGGGGACCCCCAACTGTGCACAGACCTGTGCACCCAGCCTCTAGTATGCATATAGATCTTTAGTTAATCTCTTCCCACCCTTCCTCATTCCCCCTTCCCTTTCAGATTTATCAGTCTGTTCCATGTTTCCATGCCTATGCATTGAGCATCTGCCCCCTGGTTGTAATTGTGTGTCACAGCTACCAGTCGAACTGTTGCTTAGGCTTTTATATAGAGAGAGATTGTATTATTTTCCATTTGAACAACTGTAAACCTACTTTTCCTGTATGTTCTCCAAGTGAGGTCATTTTTATTTTCTGCCTAGCAAAATACTTAAAAAAAAAAAAAAAAAAAAAAAAAAAGGACAACACATAGAAACCCCCAAATTCCATATTATCATTTCCCTTAATCTGACTTCCATGATAATTACATATAAATGTACTACTGTACACCATATTGTTCAATATAGACACTAACTTAATCTTTTCTCGGTGTATTAATTTTCTTTTTGCTGGAATTTCCTATTCTATTCATAGACTTTAATTTGAAAAGAACTCTATAGCCGAAGCCGGTTTGGCTCAGTGGTCTGCGGACTGAAAGGGCCCAGGTTCAATTCCGGTCAAGGGCATGTACATTGGTTGTGGGCACATCCCCGGTAGGGGGTGTGCAAGAGGCAACTGGCTGATGTTTCTCTCTCATCAACATTTCTAGCTCTCTATCTCTCTCCTTTCCTCTCTGTAAAAAATCAATAAAATATATTTTTTTAAAAAGAACTCTATAAAAGAACTTTAAATATTAATAGGAAATCCTAAAATCTCACAGGATTTCAAACAAAGACAAACCAAATAAGAACTAAGAAGTAGAAAAATAGTCTAACTTACAGGACAATATCAAGAACCACCAAAATGTCCAGCCTGTGTGACTTAGTGGTTGAGCAATGACCTTTGAACCAGGAGGCCAGGTTCAATCCCGGTCTGGGCATATGCCCAGGCTGCAGGCTTGATCCCCAGTGAGGGTCGTGCAGGAAGCAGCCAATCAATGGTTCTCTCTCATCATTGATGTTTCTATTTCTCTCCTCCTCTCCTTTCCTTTCTGAAATCAATAAAAATATATAGTTTTTAAAAAGTACCACCAAACCAATGAGGTAGTATTTGTGGTGATCAAATATTGCACCTTCCAAACACAAAGTCACTGTACATAGCAAGCACTCAATAAAAATCTCTTGAATGAAGAACAAAAAGAAATACAAAGTTCATATTTTACACTAATACCAAAGGAATGGGGCTCTAATAGATACAGTTTGATAATTACAAGTTTGACAAAAAATATTTCTACTGATAATAATCAATACTGCAGAAATATATACAACATAGCACTACTATCCTATTTCTTTTTGAAGCCCAAAATAAATCTATTTTGTAATTATAAATATTATATAATTGCTTAGTTTTTTATTTAAGTTATCTAAATTTGAGAATTTACATAAATTGTTCATCAATTTTGAATACACCTTATGCCATCCTGTTTTACTAGAATATATTTAAGGTAAAATAGCTCATTCATCCAGAAAATAGTATCCATTTAAATTGCTAAAGTAATTCATTTATATCTGGGGGGGAGACTACCTGTATTTGGACTGACTTAACAAAAATACATACACACACGCAAAAAAAAAAAAAAAATGTTTTAGATAACTATTTGTCTTGTTTCCCAAATACTACTTGCTTAAATGTCATTCAACCATAGTTTTTCTTTGATGTGAAGTTTTTCTGTTTTTTCAATAATCAAAATGGATCTTAAAACCCTTAATAACTAACCAAACACTGTCTAAACAAGAAAAAAAATTCTTTTTATAAAAACAATTAATATATATATTTTTTCAGCATACTTTCTAACAAATTAAAAACTAAATATTTTTTAAAAGAAAAAGAGAAATATTATGATACCCCTCCCTTTTTTTAGATGAGGAACCCAAGGCTTAAAAAGGAGATATAATTTGCTGAAATTAAAATAGTAAGATAATCTCGCATGGGCGATAGGAATCCACTCTCTTCATGAACTCTCCTGGCTGCACCACACATCCCTGGTTTGAGAACTGGCCACCACATGTACCCTTGTCTGCAAACTCCAATGGCAAAGAAAAACTATTTCTATTTCTCAGTACATTTAAGAAAATATCATTTGGATAAACTTTCCAGTGTTGCTGGAAATGCAAACTCTCCTATATTCCACTTCATAGGGGAAATAGCAACTGACAGAATTCACCTTCCTGGTGAATATGGTCTCAGAGAACCATATTCTACAGAATTACAAGGGAATTCAAGAACTAAGGAATTACAAAGTTGGCAGGCAACAAAAGATAAACATAAAAACTTCAGTGACTTGGTACCAAAGGAAAACTAATGTTACAAAAATGTTTCAAAACTCATCTCCATAATGCTGGGATTTAAGTACAAACTTTATAAGGAGTAAAGATAATATTTACCTAGATTTTAGAATTGTAGGCACTTGAAAAAATAAGTCTACACTACAGTAAAAGACATCTGTCCCACAGAGAATGAAAATGCACAATATAGTGGTATCAGTGAAACTCAAATTGAACTTTTAAAACACTTAATTGACTAAAATAAGTTCCAGAAGCCAGTTTTACATGAAATGGAGGACTGCTAATTAACAGTCCCTAACATATTCAATGTTTCATAACTACTAAAGGAATCTCTTTTTGTAAAACTAAAAAGTGAATGTGCACACATGTTTATGTGATCTTTACTTCTATCATTCGCCTTAAAAAATAATAGGACAATATCAAGTGTCAGTAAGAAATGGAACAACTGGAATGCTTACACTTTTTTCATGAATAAGTAAATTGGTTTCATATATTGATTGGCAATATCTACTAAATTTACAAATAACCCAGCAATTCCATTCTAGAATTAAGTGTTCCAGACTATTTACAATATGTGTATATACAAAATATTCATAGCAAAATTATTCAGAATAGTCAAAATCTAGAAATAACCCAAATATCCATCAATAGTGAATGGATATTTATATAGCAATAAAATAGTATATTCGTTCATTTAACAGATTACTATGTACCAATAAAAAGAATGAATTGCTACTAAATGCAATATGAATCAATCTCATTGACACAATCCTGGGCAAGAGAACTCAAACACATAAGACTTCATACTGCATATAATTCCACTTACATGAAATTCAAGATCAGGCAAAACAAACAAATAAAAAATCCCCTTTCTAAAGTCTCCAAATTTCTGAAAGAGTACAGTATTCCTCTTACGGAAATTCCACTTCTGTAATAAAAATGTTTATAATAATCTACTCATAACTTATGATGCTTCCATGACAATTTTAAAAGCTAAGACTATTTAAGGTCATATTTATTTCTCATTTTGCAGTGTAAACATTTTTTAATTTGTTCTATACTGACATCAAGTGGCGATATCATGTAATACAGTTTATCAAGCTGCTTGTCTATGCTCTGAAAACTAAAGGGATTTTAAGAGATAATGTCTATGTTTTCACAAATCTGAAAAGGCTATGAGACGAGAATGCCTAAAGATTCAACTCCAGTTCAGTTACCTCAAAAGTAATTCTCTCAGTAAGCAATCCATTTCTTTGAGGTTTTTGCCACTCATTAGCTGAATGATCTTAGGCAAGCTGGTATGCCTTTCTGCACAGCCTCACTATTAATATCCATAAGACATGGCTTATACTATATCAAACAAGACCTATATCAAACAAGGAGTGTAAATATTCAAGAAGATGTAAATGTAAAATAATTAAAACAATGTCAGTAAAAGGTCAGTAAATATTGGCTACCAATTCAGAATTCCCTATTAAAAAATAATAAAAACATAAAATGCTAATTAGACCAGACCACCTTCTTGACAAAGCCAGGACTGCAAGGGAAGCCTGGGTTCTGGGTGCCAGAGGGAAGCCAGTGTCAGCAGCCAGGAAAAGGAAGGCCTACCCTTGCACAAATTTTGTGCATCAGGCCTCTAGTTAAAATATAAATATCAAAGGAAGGCTAACACATTACTCTGAACTTATTAAAGTTGATAGCCATTTGAAATAGTAAGAACCTTCAGTAAAAGACAAAGAGTATTTTCAGGTTTGTAAGGTACTAAAAGGAAGAAAGTGGGAAATCAAACGCCATCGTTTCCTTACTCACAATTACCCCTGATGCTAATTCCATTTGGGATGTACATGCATGAGTCCACTAGATAAATCATTTTGACTAATGCACAGTCAATTCAACTAGTCAGTTTTGTCTTTCCAATAATAGGATAAGAAAAAGCAAAATCAGAACTTCATGTCATCAGAACTTGCATTTCATCATCTAAGTTTTAATAACTTACAAACACTTTAACAACCACTCAAATTAGTTTATAGGGCATGATTCTAAAAACCTACCAATAAGTCTAATGCATGAGTTAAAAATATTTTTTCAAATTAAAACTGGTAGAAATTCAAGTTGGTAAAATAAAGATTCCCAATTTAAACATCTACTTAGGGCTGAATTCCCACCTCCCTGGCCCCAGATTGCTCATCTAGTTCTACACCTTGTTCTGATCTCATTTCAGAAGGCTAATGGCCACTTTCCGGCCTAACACTCTATTTGATAAAACCTTCAGCCCGTGCCCCAAGAGAAGCCTCATCTCTGGCTTTCAAAGTGAATTCTGCTGCCATCTATAATCTCAGAGAATACATACAGGTATGTTCCACCCAAATATGGAAATATCAGTAATTAATATGAACATTCAATGGCTTCTACAGAGCTTCATTTAGGTCTCTTATAGGCAGGCTGTAGACACTATCCTCTAAAGATGCTTTCCAGGTTTCCAACAAATAAAGCTAGATGCACTTCACCTTCATTTCTAACTTTTATCTCCTTATCTTTCTCTCAACTGGTTCCAATCATTCCAGCCCTATGGTCCAAACTTATTGCCAGTTCTGGCGCTATTCTGAGTACAATAAAGTTAAACCAATCCCAAAAGGGGACAACAGCTATAATCAAAAAGGAACTTGAGAGATATGATTAGTTTTAATGTTTAAGTTTTGGCTCTACAAAAACATGGGGAGATAGTGGTCCAACAGAGGGGTAAAAGAGGTTTTTTCCCATCATGTAGCCCCATATAAAGCTTTGAGCAACACAGTGCAAGCAGTGAGTTTTAGTACATAAGGTTATTGAACTGTTTTCAACTGCTTGATGCAACGTTCATGCATCTATTAGAAAGATACTCGTTTATTCAACAAATGAAGCTTGAAGAGAGTAAAGTGATGAGTATTTGCTCCAGCTGCATATCTGAATTCATGCTTGCTTTGATTCTCAGGTTGGGCATAAAATGGCCCAAGAAGAGCAGCAGGAAAGCACAAGTCTCATATGTACCCACAGAACAGTGCTCACCAGAGACCGTAATTGTTTAGATACAGTGTTTACAATACCATTAACCTAACTGGAGGTGACATCAAACCCATGAGTTTCCATCTGGGGCACTGGTAGACATCTTCAAAATTGTAAATGTTTATGACTCAAAATAACTTATCTTCAGGGTGTTAGGAGGCTAGTGAATTAAGAAGGAATGTACTTACATCACTTGAAGAGACTGTTCCTGTTTCAACAGCGACACCGCTACCACGCAGTTTCTATTACAAAATAAATAACTTATTACTTAGTTTTGTTTTTAATTTTATCCTAATTTATCAGTGTATGAAAGGGAGCTAAGCAAATTTTATAATTTTTTTTCCTAATCCTACTTAATGGAGTATCATCAACTAATAAAAAAAAATGGGGATGATATGATATATTCTAAATGTCTTAATACTCATCTATATAATATCTTAGTCAATATATTATTTAAAAAAATGGAGCAAAAGTAAGCTGAATACTAAGCTCCCGCTAAATTTCATGAGTTAAGCACAAATTCCCAAGTCTCAGGATTTACTTACTAAATTGTTTCTCCAATAAGACAACTATCTTAAGCTGAGCTATCCACCCTATATTTTGTGCCAAGTTTTTGAAATAGGTGCCTGATGATGGGAAGATACTACATAGAACTTAAAATTTGGTCATCACAATAATGCTGACAAGTTACAATGAAAATCAAAATCTTACATGTTATATAGAAATGACCAAAGAAATTTTAAGGTAGAAAGTTAAAGGCTGAATATGCAAAAGAAAAGTGATAATAAATTTCTAAAAGTAAATGTTATTATGTTTTATGCAATAACTATTATCTATTAAGTGTCATGCCCCCATAATCAAGTATAATACTCCTAAATGTTGCTATAAATCGAAGAGTAAAATATCCAAACTTACAACTAACCTGGACTTTTGAAAATCTATTTCTATTAGAATAAAAAATGTGGTCCCTTTTTGACAGAGAAAGCACATTGAAGAAAAAGAGACCTTTCAGATATAATGTTACCAAATGACATTTAAGCAAAGTAGAAAATAAAATCCCATATAACCCTATGTTTCTTTCTTTTGACAAGAAGTCTATAATTTAAATCTGGTAAATCTCTATGGAAGAGGTGGCTGCCCACAGTAACAGAGAGAGTGCCATTCAGGGCCTAGCAGAAGCAGTGACCAGATTCCGTGAAGCAAAGCCAGATTGGGCCTGGGAAACCTGAAGAGTCATTCTGTAAGCAAAAGGACTTGCAAAGCAGAAATGCCATACCATAAATAAAGCCAAAGTCTCAGTGATAAAAAGAGTACTCTAGAAAGATACAGTAAAGGTCTTTAATAGCACTAATCTAATACCAGTTCTAATGAAAACAGTTCTAGACATTGAAATATTTGCTCCCACTAGTGATAACAGACATATTTCCCCTGTGCCTTGGCTGGGTGGCTCAGTTAGTTGTAGCATCATCCCAATATGCCAACCTTGCGGGTTTGATCCCTAGTCAAGGCACATACATGAGTCCACCTAGTCAATCAATGAGTCAAATCAATGTTTCTCTCTCCCTCTCTCTTTCTCTCTCTGTTTTTGTTTTTCTCTCTTTTTCTCTCTCTTTTTTTCTCTTTCTCTCCCCTCCCCCCCCCCTTTCTCTTTCTCAAATCAATATGCATTCCCCATGAACACAGACAATAGTTTGTTTGATGAAGACCAAGGGAGAGGGAGACAGGGGTGGGTGGAGTTGGGCAAAGGGTGAGGGAGTGGGGGACACCTGCAATTGTGTCAACACTGAAATTTTTTAATTTAAAAAAAAGAAAAATAATTAAAACTAGGGGGATGGGAAATTTAAAGAAAGAAGGAAATATTTCCCCTAGCTGCTCAATAAGATTACAAACATAGTTAATCATTCCAAAAGTGACTGATCATCTGAGACACAACATAAATGTTATTCCTATGAAGAAAAGTCTAAGATGAAACAACTGAAAATGTTAGTGGCAAACTACACATTTTTTCCTGCCAATTTTGATTTTATGAATTCAGCTACAATAGAGCCCCATTACCACTATACCATAAAGCTAACACTAAAGCAGGATGTAAAGAAAAAGTAAATTCAAATTAAAAAAAAAAAAGAAAGAAAAAGGATGTACCTACTTAACTAAGCATTCTGATCCCAAATGAAATACATTGGGGGAAAAAACTGTAAAATATTATCATGTTCTAAATATCTTGGTTTTTAAGTGCCTCACAAACTCACTAAAATCTATAAATTTGTGGCTCTTGTAAAAATACTTTTAAAACTAAGCCAAAAAGTGTTAATATTTATGCTACTGACAAAAAAAAAAAAATTATTCAAGACACTCCAAAATATCCCCATCTAAATAGAAAGCAATTTGGCTCCCAAAAAAAGGTAGGCAATAAGTAAAAAAATCAATCTAAGCCAAATGTCCTGGTGTCTCCTTTATGCTTCAAATTAAAATCTATTAAAATAACAGTCGCTGAAATCTAAATGCCAACTTTCCAAAAATGTATTTCAAATAGACATTTCTTTGAAATCGAACACTTATAACAACACAATAGCAACCAATATTACTTCTCCTGGCCTGTTCCTTCATGTAAACCATCCCAACACCCAAATCTCATTCTCTTCTACCTTTTCTTCCCCAGAGTACTCCTCCTCTCCCCCTTCATTTCACTCCTTTTCTGATGGCCATTCCCACCAAGTCTCCCCCTTGCCACCCAATACTGGAAGCCTAAAAGAAACACTGAGCCATCCTAAGTATCTTATCTTTTGCCCTATTCTAGGGAACTATGGAGATAAAAACAGAAAACTTGTAGTTTTCCAGCCATTAAACCAGCAAGCTGTTTCCTCCAGGGGGAAGGAGAGCTAGAGAGGTCTGAAAGCAACAAGACAGCCAATAAGAGGGCTTCATATTTGACCTTAGACCTAAATGTCCAATCCCACAAGGATACAGTGAAATCCTGAGGACTCACTGTGAGGCGGTATCTCACAGCTGGGCCAGCAGCTCCATGCTTACCCGGGAGCGCCTAGAAACCTGGTATGGACTCTTGGCCAGGATTAGAATGAGAAGACTGACTAATGCTGTATTAAGTGCTGTTCATAGATTGAAACTCCCTGGTAGCACACAAAGCCAATTTGTTTATTGGTGTAACTAGTTAGACAGTCAGCCTAATTAGTGACTAAAAGGGCATTGAAGATCCCATTAGAAATATCTGGAGACCGCCCCCAAACGCAGATTTCTCCCACAAATGGTGGTCCAGCTAAGACAGATGTGCGTGCTGCCCCAGGAAGTCTCTCAGCCAAAAGTTTGCCTGCACTCTCCCCGCGATGCAGCTTCTTTTCCGGTCACATAAGCCTGACAGGAATATGCTCTTTGGAGTTGTGTGAATCCTTTCAATCCTCCGACCTGGCAGTCTCCTAGAAGAAGGTATTTCCATCTAGAATGGAAAATCCCAAGCGGCAGAAAGGACAGAAAGGGTTGAGCTGAAGCCAGTCAAAAAAAGAAAAAGTGAAGCAGAGTAATTTGGCTTATTCATCAAGTTCAATATGGCATTATTTTAATACATGACTCTTTTTGTCATTTCCCATAATTACCATAAATAGCTTGAGAGAGCATGGATGTTACATTCCTTGCAAAGATACTAAAAGAAATTTCTTTTACCTGTGAACTCAGCTGAGTTTTTATCCAATTAAAATAGTAATTTAAGTCACTGCCTTCCATCAATTCTTTTCCCCAAGCTGCTAATTTGGCAATAATTCTTGCTGCCTAAAAAACAAGAAATACAGTTGAATACTATATTGATTATAAAAATCACATCATATACCTTAAAAACTAAGATTTGTAACCATTTTTGCTGCATTTTTTAACACTCAACTCCTCCAAAAATAGTTTACACCTAATTTTTTAAATATATTTTTAAATATAGTTAAAATGTATTTTCAAATATTTCCAATAATATGAACCAAAATTAGTTGTTAAATTAAGAATTTCATGATATTCTTTATATTAGTCTGAGTTTCAAAAGTAAGACTGAGATTCATTATAAGACAAGTAAAAATCCAAAGAACACAGAAATCATTCTAGCAGCAGATTTTCACCAAATCACCTGCCAATGTCCTGAGCAATCTAGAACAAACTGCCAACCAGTACCTTACTCGTTCAAAGCCACTTGTGAGTTCTCACACTTAAAAATCTTTATCTCGGTATAAAAATATCCTGATATTAAACAGCCATCTCTCTTGATATATAAAAATATACCATGTTCTCCTCATTTAAAGATTTCTCAATTTTCTTCAAGTTATAAAATTAATAATGAATTTTTTATTGAATAAGTATTATAAGTATATGTAAATTAAAATTAAACACAATAGCTGCTTCAAAGCAAAATTTAGTTTCTAAAGTAATTCAATTAATCCTGTCATAGATGTCCAGAGACGTTTTCACATATGAATGACAAGGCTCTTATTCCAATGACTCATCATTATACTCTACAAAACTTTAACTGTATCAAAGCAAGCCTATCTCTTTTACTTTCCCCTTACCCCCACATTACTGAACACCAGTAAGAAAGCACTGCTTTGCAAACTTATCACAGCAATTACTCCTCTGGGAACTGGGAGGTTATCAAGTCATAAATAGCCCAGGTGTATTTCTTCCCTAAACCAGAAATTTGATCAATTCAAATTTACCATATGAACAGTAAAGAGATCCTGGCGATTCAACATTGGCAGAAAGTAGGACCAGGCAGTTGTCTTGCTCCGTTTAGCATAGTCAAAAAAAATGCTAACACGCTGATGATTTTCCTAAAAAAGAAGAGGAATGATGTCACTAATCAAAAATGTATTTTCCTAAAGAATGTAGCAACCATGCCTTACTATTCAACCTTTCATTTTATGTCCCCATCAATTCGTTTGCTTTCTTTTACCAATGTGTATGAGATTTGCCTCCCTGTTGTTATTATTATGGGGAGGGGGAATATAGCGGGGGGGGGGGGGGGGGCAGGGATATTTAAAAGATAAAATCACATTGCCCTAACCATTTTGGCTCAGTGGATAAAGCGTTGGCCTGTGGACTCAAGAGTCCCAGATTCAATTCCAGTCAAGGGCATGTACCTTGGTTGCTGGCACATCTCCAGTAGGGAGTGTGCAGGAAGCAGCTGATCGATGTTTTTCTCACATTGATGTTTCCAACTCTCTATCCCTCTCCCTTCCTGTCTGTAAAAAATTAATAAATATATTTTTAAAAATAAAATAAAATAAAAATAAATAAAATCACCTTTAATTATTATGATTAGTTTAATTCAAGTGAGTCATGATAGCAGACCCCAGCTGCAAAGTGTAGCATTCTAAGTTACTTTCTTCTTAGCCTGCACTGCTGATTTGTCTTCCCCACTGTTATCTACACCCCTCTACGCTGCTTCCATACAAACGAAATAGAAAGAGGGCGGAAAGATCACAAGTTAGCTGTAGATGGAAGGATCGGCAGGACGAATCTCATGCCATGTACAAGCAGGCAAGGGAAATGGAGTATTAGAGAAATCTCAAATGTGCAAAATTACTCTTAGAATATCATGATGGAAAAATAAGGGCACATAAAGAGAGCCAAAAAAACAGTATTTCATACTAGCAAGTGGATTTAGGAATTGAGAAAAAATTCAAATCATGCAAATTCTACTTCTCCCCTAAATTTTCTCTGCATATTATTGGCTGAAATACTTCCTGGTTCCCTTAGTGTGGTTTCTAAGGAGAAATATTTGGTAAAAGCACAAATAACCACACAAACAATAATTTTAATTTTCAGATCAATATTTAATTATTTTTAAATACCCTGATTTTAATTTTGGTCTGTACTAACAGTTACCCCAATTAAGGGACAGACTACCATTCCTTAAATAACAAACACTATAATCTAGAGCAGTGTTTCCCAAACTTTTGACATATGTGTACCCCCTCTATAATTTTCGTAACGCTGAGTACCCCTCGTACTCATGAGAACGTAGAATTAGGCGCAGCTAAGCACGGTGCAGTGCATATCTCCACCAAACTCCGGTGCAACATGTACCCCCACCAACCTCTTCCCGTACCCCTGGGGGTACACGTACCACACTTTGGGAAAACTGATCTAGAGTAACAATAAAAATGGTTATGCTAATGACTTTATGAAAGGACTCAAAATTCGGTTATCATTAACTCCATAGATAATTTTCAAAGTTAAAATTTTAATTGTGCATGTAAGAGAACAAAGTACCTTACATACATAAAGAGAAAATATTTTACACAGTTTAAATAACTTTAAAACCCATCTTCCTCTACCAATCTTTTGTGGTCTCAATTCCTGATTCAAAAATGTACTGACAGCCCTGCCAACCTGGTTCAGTGGTTGAGTGTTGACCTATGAACCAGGAAGTTACAGTTCAATTCCAGGTCACAGCACATGCCTGGGTTGTGGGCTTTATCCCCAGTCGGAAGTGTGCAATAATTCTCTCTCATCATTGATGTTTCTATCCCTCATTCCTTCTCCCTTCCTCTCTCTAAAATCAATAACATTTTAAATAAATAAATAAATAAATAAAAATAATTAAAAAAAAAACTCACAATGTTTTTCCAGCCATCATTGTCCCAGGAGCCCTAGCTATAAACCTTTAAGAAAATATGGATAACACCCTTCTTCTAAAAGTACACATTTTTGTATTTAAAAAAAAAAAAAAGAAAGAAAGACAATACACATGTACCTACCTATTTTTGCAAAAAAAGAAAAACAGGAAAAATAAACTAGAAATCTAGGATATTGGTTACCCACAAGAGATAGGGAGGAATGGGGTACAGGGACGGTATAGGGGTTGGTGACATTTCTGAGCATACTTTTCTGTATATAGTTTTAACTTCTGGAAGCATATTAATGTTTTACATAATCAAAAATAGTAAAGTAAAATAAACAAGGATGAGAAAAAAAATTAGAGCAGAATACAAATAAATGAACTAAATGTATTTAAAGAAAAATAATTTAACCACTCTGAACAAAACTTGAGCACAATTCTCTGACCTACATAACCACAGTTTAAAGATAAAATACTGCAAACAAACACCAATCTCTAGGAAAAGGTTTTGCTTTCCACAGCTATATAAGTAAAAAGAATTACTTTCTTTATATAACATGGTAGAATAAATGAGTTAATAGATGAAGGATAAGATCTCACAATCTCACTGCCAGAAGAGATTACAAGTATGGAAAAAGGAGGCAAGAATGAAATCTGTAATATTGAGATAAAATTAAATTGGACAGAGTGTGAACTCATGGCTTTTAATTTATAGATACGTGGATAAACATAAAAATTGAGAATATTTTTGTGTGTGCCTTTGTGTATGTGTGTGTGTTTTTTGTTGTGTGTGTGTGTGTGTGTGTGACATAAATAAAACCAAGGTCTGCATACAAACTCACAGTTTCCTCATTCTTGGTGTAGTCCCATATAACAACCTGGATAGCCAAGGCAGACCACAACATTTCCCATTTTTCTTAACTTTAGTTTTTAAAGGAAAAAATGCTCAGAGGACCAAGGTCTTTCTCATATAAGCCTGTTTCCTCACTCACATTATCAAATCACTTCATTCCCATAGATGACATGATAGTCCATAGGTAGACAGCTCCATTCTTCCTAACCTTTGTATTCTCAATCTGTTAGTATAGTGCTTGGCACATAGTAGGCCATCAATATATGTTTTTCCTTGTAAACTGACAGAATGGCCCCTAAGCAGCCAGACTAACACTTTTCTTAAAATCTCCTAAGACATGACGACAAGCATTGGATTTTACAGCTAGACAGCCTGTTTTAAAAAGAACTACTCTGCATGCCAATAATCTAAACCTAGATTATACTCTGGTGTAAAATACAAAATTGTGAATAAAGGAGGCTCTTCTGTGTTCAGGGACAATAGGCAGTAAGTAGGGACTTTATACAACTAGAAAAGTCTCAGACGATTAGCAAAACATTCTTCAAAGGGACCACGCTTTTGAGGGCAAAAACCTTGCCTACATTCAGCACTGAAGACCCAGGGCCTCCACTGCCTGGAACACAGGTACATAGAGATCTGCTGAATGACTGAAAGAGAAGGACCCCTATCATCTGTAATTACTCAGGCATCCAAAAGCCTCAAGTGACTCACCAAACATTAATGGTGCTCACAGAGAACTCTGAAGTGTTGCGGGAGGAAAAATGCCTATGGATTACTTCCTGTACTGAAAAACAACAAAAATAGCCTGTATTTTGCATCTTTCCCATCTTTATCGCTATTAGCAAGTTACAACGCATATAATGAAGAAAAATGTATTATTATATTCTAAGAGAACCAGTGTTGTAAGTGAAAGATTACAAAAATGTTATCACTGTGTGGTACACAAAAAGATGAAGTCACCTAATGTATTAAGTAAAGAATATACCTACCTGCAACATATCATCGATCATAGTTAATATGTACTGAACTGTCTGTTCTTTGGAGATGTGAGTCATCAGGTTTATAAATGTTTTAGCACACTATAAAAAAACAAACAAAATCAACGTTAATTATTGTCTTTCAACTACAAACACAACATATTAGTGAAATTTCAGTATAACATGGGATAGGTAAAAGAATGTTTACAGTTGTTTGTATGGTAAATAATAAATAATAATACAAGAATAAACTCTGTTTCACATCTTCACAACTGTAAACCTACTTTTGCCAACTCCTGTATTTTGCTTGTCTAAATTAGGGTACAAAAGCTATTCACTAACAGATTGCAATTACAAAAACTGTAAACCTTTTACAAATATTAGGATGAGGTATAGGAAACCCATACTATGAATAGCATCAGATTTTTACTCATTTCTAGTGATAAATTTCAAAATGTTTACCATTTTTAAGTAGACAGGCCTAGCCACTATCGACTCTTGATTACCCAAGATGACATAAATATTAAGTTACATAGACAATAAAATATTATTATTTTGGTATTTACTAGAAAGCAGAACAAGGGTGCTGGGAATTGGAATCAGAAGGCTTTGACATGTCTCTATTCTTCTAGTTATCAACTATGTAACAATCTCTCTGGTATTCAACAAAAACTGGTACCAATAGGATTTGGCTCAGTGGATAGAGCGTCAACTTGCGGACTGAAGGGTCCAGGGCACTACCTTGGTTGCAGGCTCCATCCCAGCCCCGGTTGGGGTGCGTGTGGGAGGCAACCAATCAATGTGTCTTTCTCACACTGAGGTTTTTCTCTCTGTGCCTCTTCCCCTCCCTTCCACTCTCTCTAAAAATCAATGGAAAAATATCCTCAGGTGAGGATTAACCAAAAAATAAAAATAAATAAAATTGGTATCAATAATATATTCCTTCCCAAACTTCCCAGAAATTTGCATGACAAATTGTTGTGAGAATCAGACTGAATTGTATATGCACTCCTTCTGCCAATCAAAGTCCCATATCAGAAAATCTGATGGAATGCAAAGTTGTTTATTATTCTAGTGAGAATACAAAGAACGTTTTCTACAAAAAACGTTCTGATGGAATGCAAAGTTGTTTATTATTCTAGTGAGAATACAAAGAACGTTTTCTACAAAAAATGTTCAGGAACTTTAAAAGTATTATATAATTTAAAACAGTAATTTCCCGTCTAGAAATCTATTCTAAGAAGATTTTCAGAAATGCAGAAAAGGATAAAAGAATAAATATACAAGCCGAAACCGGTTTGGCTCAGTGGATAGAGCGTCAGCCTGCAGACTGAAGAGTCCTGGGTTTGATTCCGGTCAAGGGCATGTACCTTGGTTGCGGACACATCCCCAGTAGGGGGCGTGCAAGAGGCAGCTGATCAAAGACTCATCGATGTTTCTAACTTTCTATCCCTCTCCTTTCCTCTCTGTAAAAAAAAATCAATAAAATATTTTTTTAAAAAAATAATAAATATACAAAATATAACACTTTTTCCAAATTAACAAAGAAAACTGGGAGTTACACAAAAACTTTCCAATAAAAAAATGATCTGTAATTAAATTATGTGTACCTTAATGGAATATCATGCACTCATTAAAAAACATTTCGAGAATATTTAATGACATGGGGAAGTTTTCATGATATAACGTTTACATCAATCACCTGACTGCCTTCATTTTGAAGCATTTCTTGCTTCTCCTCAGGAGTTCTTTTCATTTCAAATCTTTGAATGAATTCACAATCTTCAGCAGAAATCATCTGTCCCCTAGAAAGTAAGAACAAGTTGCTTTTGTTCAGTAAGAGTTGAATAGCCAGTATGAGGAATTTCAGACTTTCTCCTCTCTCCTTAGTAGTAGGCATGAGGGTTGACACACGGACCCTGCTATCAAAGAGACCTGAGTTCAAAGCCCAGCTCCACCAATTACTGATCATTTGACCTCTCTTAGAGTGAGTTAATTTACCTACAAAATGGCAACAATAATCACATGGCTTTTAAGGGGTTGAACTACAGAAAAAAATTGCACAATTCACATGGGGTGGTTAGTTCAATGCCTGGTCCACAGTAATAACTTAATAACATGCCACCTCTTAGCACTACTCAAAGCCTCACCTTTAGTACCTTCCCAAGTCAAACAATTTACTTGGCCCTCTAATTCAAGATTAAAGATACGTTATATACACTTCCACTATAATTTTCTCCAGCATACTCTTTTCCTCCAGACTCGGGAAAATGTGATCCTCCTCCTCTCGAAAGAAAATAACGTCTCCATCCTGACCCCTGACCTCCCAGCAATCACCCTACACTATCCTGTGTCCTCCTACTTGCAGGGATCCTTCTTCGATGGATTTTGTACTCTTCAAGGTGTGCAGGAGGCAGCCAATTGGTGATTCTCTCTCATCATTGATGTTTCTTTCTCTCTCTTCCTCTCTCTTCCTTTCAAAAATAAATACAAACACATTTTTTAAAAGTTATGTGAAAAATATGTTACTTACCAAAATGTTACTCCCATTTCCAAAGACTCATCCCCACCACTTTCCAACAAGTACTCGGCTCATTTATGATTAAACCAGCCAATATTAATTGGCAGATACTTTTAAGAATAGGCAACATAGTAATAAATTAGACATCCTTCTTTGTGCTTGCATTCCAGTGTGGAAAATATACAAAGACAAAAATAAATACTTTTAAAAAAAAGAATACACACACACACACACACACCCCATCATAATGCCAGAATTGTAAACACTATGAAAAAAACTAAGGCCGGTAAGAAGCTAGAAAATAACATATTTTAGTTGCATTTCAGAGAAGGCCTTTCTGAAATTACCTGCACAGACAACTGAATGAACTGACTTAATGAGCCAAGCAATCTGGGGAGGAACTTCCAGAGAGACAGGAGTGCCAGCCCAAAGACCTGGGAGCAGCAATTAGCTTGCTGCGTGAAAAAGAGCAAGAAACAGCAGAGTGCCAGTAAACCAGAGCGTTTGAGCAATGGGACCTAATCTGATTAATATGTTTTGAAATGACTCTCATCTCACACCTATGTAGAGAACTGCTGCTTTGGGAGAAGAGTTAAAGTAGAGCCACCCACCCGGTGAACTTGAACAAGAGAGCGCATGAGATGTGATGACAGCCTGCACTGGGGTGGCAGCAGTGGAACGAGATAAAGATGGTCAGATCCAGGGCGTGTTTTGGATGTACGACTCAATGAACGTGTTAATGTATGGGATATGGGTTGTTAGGAAAACAGAAGAGTCAAGATGACTTGTAGATTTTTGACCCACGAAACTGGTGAATGCAGGCGCCGCAAACTGGCCCGTAGCAGCCTGCGGGGAGCCACACCAAACTACAGACAGCCCCCAGCACCGCAAGTTCTTCCTAGTCTCAGCTCCCCACCTGGGTTTCCTCCACAGCACCCCCCAGATCCCCAGCTTAGACAACTCCTGCAAGTATCCTGATGTGTTCTGTAAAGACGTCACCACTGCTCCCAGGCCACTATGTGCTCCCTCTTTCCTTGTGTGAGAAAAACTTATATAATCTCTCCATTTTAATGCTTACCACATTTATTACTTAATTTTTTGGTTAAAAGTTTTTTTCTTTATTAAACTTTAACATGAAGAGGGAGGACAATATTTTATGATTCGCATATTCTCAGGATATAGTTTTTACTGGATTCCAGTTTGACTGGAATATAGCCACACCTATTCCTTTATCAAACTTCAGTTCTCAAACATCTCACATCTCGACAATTCAGTTCTTGACCAAGTAGTTCATGGAAAAATGTCTTGGTTGTTGAATAAAACTTCGGTTCTCAACCCAATAACCCTCAGGTGACAAAGAAGAGAATGCATGAATATGAGTCGGCTTACTGCTACACCTCAAGTTGTTAATATCTCAAGAAATTGTCCTGTGAATGTTTTCATGGTTTTTTTGCTTTTGTTGCTGTTTATTATTATTAAATACTAGAGGCCTGGGGCATTAATTCATGCACAGGTAGAGTCCCTTAGCCTGGCCAACGATAGGGTCCAATTGGGGCAGTCTCAACCAGTCCCAATCGGGGCGATCAGGGCCGGCTGCCTGAGGGGGAAGGACCTGGGGAGACTGGCCGACCAAGGAAGGTTGGCTATGGGAGCGCACTGACAACCAGGGGGCAGCTCCTGTGTTGAGCATCTGCCCCCTGGTGGTCAGTGTACATCATAATGACTGGTCGAGCAGTTGAGTAGTCAACAGGTCATACCAGTCACTTAGGCTTTTATATATATAGATAGTAAATCACCATGGTAAGTTATAGGAGCGAAGTAAAAAAGTAAAGCTGTAAGAACAATAGAGTTTTAAAAAGAAATAATTGCTAAGTATGATAGAAGTGTCCATGTGTCTGATCTGGCTACTGAGTATGGCAAGGTAAAATCTATGATTAACACAATTTTAAAACATAAAGAAGCCACCAAGAGTGCTGATTTTGCTAAGTGTGTGAAAGTGCTCGTAAAACAATGATTACAGGCAATTTAAGAGGCATAAAATTATTGTTGATTTGGATAAATGGAAAGCAGTTAGCCAGTGATAGCATTTCGAAGGCAATGATACGTGAAAAAGCAAAGATGCTGCACACGAACCTCCTGAAAGACACCCCTGAAACGAGTGCTGGAAGTGATTGGTTTAAGGCCAGTAGGGAGTGGTTCAATAAATTTAAGAAAAGAGGTGGCATTTTTAAGAAAAGTGTAGCGAGGCGTGGGGAGGCTGCCAGCTCAAACAAAGTAGCTGCTGATAATTTTGTGACAGAATTTCAAGAATACATAGAGGCCAAAGGATTTGTTCCCCAACAAGTGTTCAATTGTGATGAGACAGGCCTCTTCTGGAAGAAAACACCAAAGAAAGCCTACATCACACAGGAGGAGAAGTCACTGCCAGAACATAAGCCAATGAAGGACTGGCTGACGTCACTGCTGTGTGGGAATGCAAGTGGGGGCTTCAAAAGGAAGCTTCTACTCATTTACCATTCTGAATACCCGTGAGTTTTCAAGAAATACTGATGTCATGAAAAACAAGTGGAATGTGATGTGGAGAGCTAATAGCAAAGCCTGGGTAAACAGTGAGTGGATTCATGAATTGTTTGCCCCAAGTGTGAAGAAATACCTCCGGGGAAAACAATTGCCATTCCAGGCACTTCTCATAATGGACAATGCTCTTACCCATTTCCAAGGCATGGAGGCCAAAGTGGTGGAAGAGGACAGCTTCCTCACTGTTCTAGTGGAACAAGGGGACAAAAGAGAGAAAGAACCTGGCGTCTTTATGAAAGGGGACTTCCCTTCCAAACAATAACATCCCTGCATCCTTCCTCTCTACATTCAGTCATCAACAGCTCTCAGCATTAAAGGTAAGTTCTAGTGTGTATGTAAATTTTCATTTTTTACTATACATTTCATTACCTTTTTGTCAAATTTTCATTTATATTTTACACTAGAGGCCCAGTACACGAAATTCATGCACAGGGAAAGAGGGGGAGTGTCCCTAAGCCCAGCCTGCACCCTCTTCAATCTGGGACCCCTTAAGGATGTCCGACTGCCCCTTTAGACCAAATGGGCAGTTGAACATCCCTCTCACAATCCAGGACTGGACTGCTGGCTCCCAACTGCTCGCCTGCCTACCTTCCTGATTGCCCCTAACCACTTCTGCCTGCCAGCCTGATCACCCCCTAACCACTCCCCTGTCAGCCTGATTGATGCCTAACTGCTCCCCTGCCAGCCGATTGCCCTCCCCTGCAGGCCTGGTCCCCCCCAACTGCTCTCTCAATTGCCCTTCCCTTTAGGCCTGGTTGCCCCCAACTTCTCTCCTCTGCCAGCCTGGTCACCCCTAACTGCACTTCCCTGCAGGATTGATCACCTCCAATTGCCCTCCCTTGCAGGCCTGGTCCCTCCCAACTGCCCTCCTCTGCTTGCCCGATCTCCCACAACTGCCCTCCCTTGCAGGTCCCTCCCATCTGCCCTCCCTTGCTGGGCATCTTGTGGTGGCCATCTTGTGTCCACATGGGGAAAGCCATCTTATGTGTTGGAGTGATGGTCAATTTGCATATTACTCTTTTATTAGAAAGGATAGAGGCCTGGTGCACAGGTTGGGGCCAGCTGGTTTGCCCTAAAGAGGAAACCCAAGCCTCCTGCTCCCTCCAGGGCCACTGCCATCTTGGTTGGGTTAATTTGCATACTCACTCCTGATTGGTTGGTGGGTGTGGCTTATTGTGTAGCAGAGGTACAGTCAAACTTGCATGTTACTCTTTTATTAGATAGGATCTTTTTGTTTTTAAAGTTTTTTTTTTATAGATCTGTGGTCGGCAAACTGCGGCTCACGAGTCACATGCAGCTCTTTGGGTCCTTGAGTGTGGCTCTTCCACAAAATACCACGGCCTGAGAGAATCTATTTTGAAGAAGTGGCATTAGAAGAAGTTTAAGTTTAAAAAATTTGGCTCTCAAAGGAAATTTTAATCATTGTACTGTTGATATTTGGCTCTGTTGACTAATGAGTTTGCCGACCACTGTTATAGATTAAACAGTGCATTAGACATGTACTATATATAAGAAAGGTTAAAGCAGGAAATCATAGGGATCTGAAGTGACTTAATTCAATTTACATTATTTCTAATGGGGAAAAAATTATTCCATTTTCAAATAAATAGCTTCTCGAATACCTTTCAGAATGATTTAAGTTGGGGAACTGAAGTTTCACAGTCTGTACTCTCTAGGTGACAGATAAAGAAAGGTCCAATCAAATTTTTTAATCAAATTTTTTACACTTTTTTAAGCACTGTATTTTCATAATAACATGCTAATTTGTGAGGGATGAAGCATTATTATATTATTATAGCTTCCTGACATTGGGTAACTCTCCCACAGGTTTTATTTTATCAGAATATAATGTGATATAAGATTCACTGATAATTCATATGTTGTATCTAGCCCCTACTAATCTGTAAGCTCTTTTAGGGAGGCACATTTCACACCCACTGGTGTCCCCACAACCAACAGCTTGACAGCAGGCACACAGTAAACATTTGGTGAACATCTGTGAGCAGACATACTAGTACAGAGCAGAGGAATTTTAGAAAAGAAATTCATGAGCTGGACAACTGAGTCATAGACAGAAAATAGGAAAAAGGGAGAATCTAACTTATAAAGTATGAGGCCTTGGAACAAGAGGAAAAAAAGGGAAAGCAATTAAAAATCTCCATGTAACTAAAAACATTCCAAATTCCAACACTACACAACTTCTGCCAGTCAGCCAGTGCTTTATGATCAACAGCAACATTATTCTATTTAGGTTATAAACAGAATCAGGCTTTATAAACATGAAAGTCGTTGTGCTCTAGTCTAAATGTACTCCGAAATAAAATTAGGACACAGAGCTCGCAATCCTAATTTTACAGGGGATTTAAATAATTACACAGATATAGGTGAACAAAGGAAACATCAGAATGTCCCTCCTCCTGCTGCCCGTAGGCCTACAATAATCCATTCCCTTCCGAGAAGCAAGAAATCAGCCTGGATTCTTTTTCCTCCTCACACATCAAATTAATCACAAAGACTTTCTCAAATCTATCCAATTCTATACATACCAACAACCCGAATACTGTCACAGCGTCTCCCCAGCTCTGGGCATATTATCCCCAAATCTATCCTCTACATTGTGTAGAACAATCCAACCAAAAGGTAAATCTGATCATCTAACTCCCACTTTACACACTTCAGAGTTCTAATAACCACAACAGTAATTTTATTTTTAATATATTTTTATTGTTTATAGTATCACAGGTATCTCCCATTTCCCCCCTCCCCTTTGCCCCTTTCCTCCCAACCCCTACCCACCCTCACAGATCTTCACTACACTAACTGCCCATGTCCATGAGCTATGCATATAAGAATGTTAAGTTCTTTGCTTTTTCTTCTCATCCCTCCAATCCCACATTGAGGTATGTCAGCCTATTCCATGCCTCCATGCTTCGAGTCTTATTTTGTTGGTTAATTCATTTTGTTCATTAGATTCCACAAATAAGTCTACTAAGTGTGGTCTCAAAAGATGACTCTAAGGCATACACTCCTACCTCCATTCAATCATCACTTTTATCTGATTTACATGCTGAGCTTCCTTATTGAACTTCACAACAACTATGGATTTCACAGCTTAAGAATCAGCTTGAAAAGCACTGACGGAATCAAGTCCAAACTCCTTCTGATAGCAACAGGACCTTCCGATTGGTTCCTGCTTCCTCTCCAGCTTCAGCTCTCTTTCTCCATGGCCTGGTTCCAAAACATGAATTATTTCCCACCCAGAATGTTATTTTTAATTCCCTACCTTTGAAAATCCCCTTCAGGAAAACTTCCTAGAGGTAGGATGAGCTGTTTTGTTTTCTGTGCACTCATCATTCTCTGTGCACCTTTCTATTATCGCAATTAACATACTGAATTAAAATTATCTGTTTAAATATCTGACTTCCCTAGTAAATTATGAGTTTATCCCCAAAGCCCAGAAAAATGCCTCAAACTTGGTGGTCAGTCAATAAATATTTGATAAGTGATGAGACTAACAGAACTAAAAGGATCTTTTTTGTACACTGAATAATATCCTTTCAGTAAAGCAAACTGCTAAATATACTAGTAAACCTAAAAATTCCTCACATTATTTTTCAAAATGTATATGCAAATCTAAATTGAATTTCCTAAAACTCACTGTTATAAATATATAAAAGTAAACAGATATGAAGTAAAGTCAATATGGTCAAGAATAAATGAACACTTATATTACAGATAAATATAGAACAACAGCATTTAAGTCTTAATATACAAAAGAAGGAAGGGAAAAACTGAAATTTACTGCGAGGGTATTCAACATACTAATGCTTATATTCTACTGTGCTATTACTTTAAGTACATTATTTCAGAAAAATAAAAACTTGTGGTATCTGTCTCCCCATTTCAGATTTACTTAATGAACCTCAGAGAAGAGATTTGCCTAAGATCACCAAACTAGTACACAGAACCAGAAGGCCAACCCAGGTCTTGAACTCAAACATCTATGCTTTTTACTAGCTGTATGAGCTATTCTGCAACACCTTCTGTCCCCACACTGATCACCAAGGCACACTGAGCCCGCAGCAGGCTCCGCACATTATCCTCTTCCTCCCACCATAGTCCATGAATGTTCACGCCATGGTTTCTCACTCAATAGAAAAGCACAACTTCCAAGACAGAGGTCAAAAGTGCTCCAAGCCAAAACCGATTTGGCTCACTGGATAGAGCCTCAGCCTACGGACTGAAAGGTCCCAGGTTCAATTCCGGTCAAGGGCATGTACATTGGTTGCGGGCACATCCCCAGTAGGGGGCGTGCAGGAGGCAGCTGGTCAATGATTCTCTCTCATCGATGTTTCTAGCTATCTATCCCTCTCTCTTCCTCTCTATGAAAAGTCAATAAAATATATATATTTTTTAAAGTGCTCAGAGCCACTTTACTCACTAGAGCCACAAGCTCAAAGAAGGAAGTGTTTTCTTCCACATTTATTAATATTTTCCCAATATTTCTCTCACAGAAGCATGACCATGAAAAAGTCTGATGCAAAAGCACATGATTACCCATGATTCACAGCAAATCCGTACTTACTGCAGGTAGGACTGCCAGTTCACTTTGTTCGCGCGAACTTCTGCAGCCTTGGCAGCAATAATGTTGGTTGGAACAGCTGCATCCACCGCACCACGGATATCCATCTTCGTCATCTAAATTTTATGCTCTTGGAAGTTTTCCAACAATTTTGCTGTAAGGTAAAACCAGAATATAGGTGTTGTTATTTTTTAACAACTACTACAATGATTGATAAGACTACCATCATTATCACCTTCATCTCTCCAGGCATTCGACATGTATGTTAAATATCATTAATGTTAATATTATTATACTTCAGATCTTGTCCACCAATTATAAGCTGCTCCATAAAATGCTCTCTATAGGAAAGTGCTCTAAAGGAAAGGTTTTTCTTAATTATTGGCACAATGTAGATTTGTAAAGTAACCATTCAAGAAATTGACATCAGAAATCATGCTTAAATAGGATAGGCATACAAAATAGGAAAGTATTTTAATTGTATACAATTGGGATCAACTTTCCTCCTCTGCCAGAAGAAAAATAAGAACCTGCAAAGTATAGTTAGGATCAATTATTTTATTTACATTTCCTAAGCATCATTTTTTGCAATGACGTATGAAAACCCGTTAAGTCCTTCCTTAAATTCTCATTCGAATTAAAATAACCATCGTGGGAATGCAATTTCTTAGACGATAGCGCTTGATTTTTTTTTTTTCAACCAAAGTTCATTGTATTTTCAAAATCAACTTTAGGAGAAATTTTTGGAACAAATACCAATTACATCTTAGGTACAGCCAACAATGGGAGTCTAGTCCGACGACAAGAACCTACAATCAAGAGCCTTTTTAAGTAATTCTCACACCCAAACGAACAGATTACAAGTTTAAGCCTGGTTTTATCAAGACACAAAACATTGAAGTTCCTTTTCATAAAACATAATAAGCCCACGCTTATATACAGAGAAGCTAAAAGGGCCCACAATGCCCTCGGTCAGTTTGGAACTTAATCTCCACATCTGAGGGCTGCTGCCTAAACAAGCCAGAGGCGAGGTGGCCTGGCTGGGCCCAGGCAGAAACTGGCTCCTTCCGGCCCAACCTGCTGCCCTGGGACCAGGCGGACCCAGGCGGCGGCCCGTCCCGGGGAGGCAGCAGGTGTCTCCGCGCGGTCACCTAAACCCGGGCCCATCCCGGGGAGCGCATTCCTTTCCTCCATCCTCCTGCCCTCCTCTGCCCGCCCGTTGGGTTCCCGGCCCCCGCGGGGGAGGCTCTGCAGGTTCCTAAACCGGTGCAGGCCCGAAAGGAAAGAAGCCGGGACCCCGGGACCCCGGGACCCCGGGACCCCGGCACCGGAGGGGGCGGAGGGCCTGGGCGGGGGGACGGCAGCGCGCACCGGGGACTCTGGGGAAGCCGCGGGGTCGCCTCCCTTGGGCAGGTGTCCCCGATGAACCAAGCGGAGTGCGGCCTTACTGCGCCCCGAACCCCGGGGGAGCCCACAACGCACCCGGAGGCGGCTGGGAGGGGGCGGCGGTCGGGGATCGGGGCCCCGCCGAGCTAGGGCGCCGGGTCGGAACCTCTGCGGCGGCTCCGGAGGCCTGAGCGGCGGCGGGAGCCTCGGGCGCCGGGGAGGGAAGAGGGGCCACCACCGCGGAGACGTTCGGGGCAGCGCAGGCAGCAGGCAGCAGGCAGCCGGGGTGGCGGCAGTCGAATGACAGGAGTGCCGGTCACGTGAGCAGAGGCATGTGACCACCGGAAGGCGGAAGGCGGAAGCCGGGAGGGTTCAAAACTGCAGCCGAGGGGCGGGCGCTTAGGAGGGAATTGCTCCGTTCAGGTTACTGCGCTCCAAGGGTCCTAAGACAGGCTGCCTCCCGAACCCCCACCGCCAGCCCGGACTGGCTGTCCCGAGGGTGGGCATTGGGGGACCCGAACCCAGCAGGCCGCTCCTGTGCCAGGGTACCCGCTGGAGCCCAAGAACCAGGCCAAAACTCGTTTATCATATATATATGATTTCTATCTACCTCTCTTCCTTTCCCTTCTGCTCTAAAATAATAATAATAGATATAGCTAATATATATATATATATATATATATATATATATATATATATATATTCCCTTCTGCTCTAAAATAATAATAATAATGACATGTATTATTATTATTTTAGAGCAGAAGGGAAAGGAAGAAAGAGATGGAAACATCAATGATGAGAATCATTGATTGGCTGCCTTCTGCATGCCCCACACCCAGGACCAAGCCTGAAACCCCAGGCAGTGCCCTAACCTGGAATCGAACTGTGACCTAGTGGCAAAACTCGTTTATCTTAACCGTCATTCATTTCAAAAGTTTACTTCAGCCGAAACCGGTTTGGCTCAGTGGTAGAGCGTCGATCTGCGGACTGAAAGGTCCCAGGTTCGATTCCGGTCAAGGGCATGTACATTGGTAGGGGGTGTGCAGGAGGCAGCTGGTCAATGTTTCTCTGTCATCGACATTTCTAGCTCTCTATCCCTCTCTCCTCCTCTCTGTAAAAAATCAATAAAATATTTTTTTAAAAAAAAGTTTACTTCAGTGATTTTAAATAGATTGACTTTGATTTCGATTTAACGGGTCAATGGAGCAGGTGTTCTTAACGGACTATTGTATATGAAACTGGTGCTGAAACGTGGGCCATAAAAGTGATCTTGCCCTGGGGTTGCAGGTTTAGCCAACAATGAATGTTCCATGCAATATTTGCAATTATTCTATTAAAAAAAAAAAAAAAAATTCGTGTTTGCCCTGGCCAGTGTGGCTTAGTTGGCTCTCATGCACCGGGAAGTTACCAGCTTGATGTCCAATCTGGATACCTGGTAGGGGACATGCAGGAGACAGCCAATGGATGTTGTGCTCTCACATTGATGTTTCTTTCTCTCTCCCTTCTTCTCTCTCTAAAAATCAATAAATTATTCTTTAAAAAATAATGATGATGATTGTTTGTCTTCCTTTGTTATATTGTATGAGTTCTTTATATATTTTGGAAAAGTAATCCCTTACCTGTTGTAACATTGGCAAATATGTTCTCTCATTCAGTGCGTTCCCTTTTCTTTTTGTTGGCCATTTCTCCTGCTGAGCAGAAGCTTTTTATTTTAATGTAGCCACATTTGTTTACTTTTTCTTTTGTTTCCCTTGCCTTAGGACCATGGTCGGCAAACTGCGGCTCTTTGGCCCCTTGAGTGTGGCTCTTCCACAAAATATCACGGCCTGGCGAGTCTATATTGAAGAAGTGGCATTAGAAGAAGTTTAAGTTTAAAAAATTTGTCTCTTAAAATAAATTTCAATCCTTATACTGTTGATATTGGCTCTGTTGACTAATGAGTTTCGCTGCCGCTGCCCTAGGAGATATTTCAGCAAATATATTGGTAAAGAGATGTCTGAAATTTTGCAACCTCCGCCTTCTTTTTGGAGTATTCTAAATCTGAAATATGCCATTGGTATTTAAATAGGGATTGAGTTGAATCTATAGACTGCTTTGGGTAGTATGGACATTTTAATGGTGTTAATTTTTCTAATCCATGAACAAATTATTTCATTTGTTTGTATTTGCCTCTATTTCTTTTTTCTACTAATATGTCCTGTAGAGAGAGTACAGGTCTTTTATCTCCTTAGTTAAATTTATTATAAGGTATCTTTTTGTTTTTTTTGTTGCAATGATAAATTCGATTTTTAGTTTCTCTTTCTGAGAGTTCATTATTGGTGTATAAAAATGTCATCCATCGGTTGCTGAATGTTAATTTTTTATCCTGCTACTTTGCTGAATTTATTTATTAAAACTAGTAGTTTTTTAGTAGAGCCTTTTAGGGTTTTCTATGTACAATATCATGTCATCTGCAAATAATGACAGTTTTACTTCATCCTTTCCAATTTTGATGCCTTTTACTTTTCTTCTTGTCTGATCGCTATGGCTACACTGTACTATGTTGAATAAGAATGGTGAAAATGGACATCCCTGTCTTGTTCCTATTTTTAAGGGAAATGCTTTTGCCCATTGAGTACAAATATGAAGTATAATGTTACAAGCCAAATTTTACCTAATAATTAGATGACTGGTTATCTCCTAAGAAATTCATTTTAACTAATTCTACATGACAAATAAGAAGAGTGACAATCCTTGGCCTTAAGTTTGGGTCTGAGTTTAGGATTCATTTCTAGCCACAAATCTGACTGGTCCTAAAATGATGTTTTAAGAAACCTAAATAGACTAGGAAAACCATCTGCCCCTCAATTGTATAGCCCAAAATTGCCAAGTACTAGTCCTTACCACACACTGCTAGTACAGAATTCTGCCAAGCAACCTATTTTCTTTACCATTATATACTAAGCAGTGTATCACTTGAATCATTTCAGTTTTGATTTAGGATTAAATTTTAATTAGGAGCACATTGCTACCTGTAGAGGGCAGTCCTAACATACCTACACAGTCAAAACCGGAGGCCCTCCCTGAAATAGAACACTACAGTTCTGTGGATAAGCTGCTGATCCATAAAACAGATAATCCTTTTGCTTGGATTTGTGTCACTTCCCAGGGCAGTCCCAGGGAACTGAGAGAGAGCTCAGCATTAGCCAAATGAAGAGAAATAGAGGAGACCTTGACTAGTGTTAAAATCAGGCTCCAGGACTCTTTTGGAGCCTTTATTGTAAAACCATGACCAGGCTTTCCCAAGATAACCAAGAATGCCTCCAGAAACATTTCTGCAGGCCATCCATGTGGAAGCCATTTCTGCCCCTGCAGAAGGCTGAGGCACATAATGCAAACATTCACCGAACCACCGAAAAAGAAGGGGCCACCAAGATTGTGTATGATATCAAGGTAAGACAATCTCCTTGATCGTCTCTTGACAAGGAAAGAGTTTATCGATAAGGAATATTAAAACTTAAACAAATTTCAGGGCCACTGCTCACTTTATCTTACTGATGTTATATCAAAATTGTTTTCAAATTTTTCAAGAGAAACCCTAAGAACCTTGTTGATAATTACCTGATCTGTGCAATTTTCTCCAACCTAAACAGCTTCCCTTTAGCAAAACAAATGACTCTTTATGTTTTGTTTGTTTGTTTCTGGAGATAATGTTTTTAAAAAGCAGAAAACTTTAACAAAATGTTATGTCTATTGCTATTAACCATTGAATATTTTTCTCTGATATAAAGGTAATATCTCATAGAGTAATAAAAGAAAAATTATAGATTGCTTTCTACAAAAATTGCTAGAGAAAAATATTAATATACTAAAGAAGGAACAAAAGAATATTAAAGCCCTAGCTGGTTTGGCTCTGCAGATAGAATGTTGGCCTGTGGATTGAAGGGTCCCCGGTTCGATTCAGACCGAGGGCACATGCCTTGGTTACTGGCTCCATCCCCAGTGGGGGGCGTGCAGTAGACAGCCAGTCAATGATTCTCTCTCATCATTGATGTTTCTATCTCTCTCTCCTTCTCCCTTCCTCTCTGAAATCAATTTAAAAATGATAAATAATAAATAATAAAATAAGGTATATGTTTAAAAAAAACATTAAGGAGCAAAGGGATATTTTTCTTAAAATCATAGTTTCAAAAAAGAATTCCCTAAGAATGAATTTCTACCACTAGATAACATTATTTCCCCCAAAAGAGACAATTTTCCTGCTTAGTGTGATGTGTATTTTTGCACAAAGTACAGATTAAGTCTGTAAATCCTCTTAACTATTAATAGAATTATCTCTTAAAGGGTTATTTGGTGTGGTGGGAGATGGGCTTGTGTTAATGTCTAACAAATAATGAACAGAGATCAGAATTAAGTGGTGCAAAATCATACTTCAGCAAACCTGTCCAAATAACTGTAACACTAAAAAATGTATTTGTCCCTGTATTGTGGCTCATATCCTAATAAGAATCACTTATTTGCAAACTCTTTACTTAATTCTCTGGATCTGCCCTTTTCCCTCCATGTTATTTTAATTTTCATAAGAAGAATAAAAGTCTTTTATAATCATTAGGACGATTTTTCTCTAGAACTATACTGACCTGTGCTTTTGAGCTTTCAGACATATGTGAACAAATTACACATGAATATCCACATACCCCTATTGTCACCTAAGCACAAGGTCCTCAGGAAACTAGAATGAAATGGGCTATCCTGGCCAGAAGTCCTTAAGGTAGAATTTGGAGGCTACTCTGAAGAAACAGACAGCAACAGGATACATATGTTCAGTGTGTGCATGTATATGTATAAAATATGTGCACGCACATATAATTTCAAACTTCTGTCTTGAGGGATATGCTCAAGCTGAATCATAGGCAAATGGATTGGGAAAGTATTTAAGAAACTGAGTATATATGTTCATAGCAGCACAATTTACAATAGCTAAGATTTAGAAACAACCTATGGTAAGTGCTCATCAGCAGATGAGTGGATTAAAAAAAACTGTGGTATATCTACAAAATGGAATACTATACCGCTATAAAAATAAAAAAAGGAACTTTTACCATTTGCGGCTACATGGATGGAACTGGAGAGCATTATGCTAAGTGAAATACTAGTAAGCTAGTCGGAGAAAGATAACTATCACATGACCTCACTCATATGTGGGATATAATGATCAAGATAATTTGATGAACAAAAATAGATCCAGAAACAAATGGCAGAGGAGGTGGACTTATATGCATGCATATTAACATAACCAATGGACACAGACACTGGGTAGTGGGAGCTTGCTCAGGATGGGAATGGCTGGGGAGGAAGGCGGTCCATGGGGTGGGGGGAAGGAAACATATGTAAAACTGTAGACAATAAAAAAATAAAAAATAAAAAAAGAACCAGTAGTATGCCTTCCCACAGCATCCTGGAACCAACCATACTGCTGGCATTGGGCAATTTGAGCTGCCATCCTGACCTCATTAACCCAAGTAAACAGCTTCCAACCTGTACACCGCAGATGGGAGCAGTCAGGAAGTGATCCAGTTGAGATGCTACTGGCCTCTCCACTCAATTTTGCCTTAAAAAAATCTTTTATGTTGCATCTGAACTCAGATGCAATATATAAATGAGCATATCCCTCCTCTAGCAAATTTAAGCTTGACAGAGCTCTGTTATAATAATTTTGATTCTACTAATATCATTGAGTTCTCACTATCTGCATAATCTAGACCTAGGTTTTGAGAAAGAAAAATATGCTTCTCCTTTTCTACAGACTTACAATATATTGAGAAAGACAAACATAATGACATTCCCATCGCATCCTATTATCAAATTATTGGCATGACTCATGTCAATAATACAGGATATTTATCATCAAAATTACATCCTTTAATTCAGTAGGACAGTAAAAAATCAAATGAAATGTCAATATGGAGAAAGACCTAATGAAAGAGTAAAAGAGGTGAAATTTGAAGTAGACTTGATATTATGTCTAGGAAAATAGAGAATTAGACAGGGAGAATATGGCTAACATGCATTGAGATGTCCAGGCCCCGGTGATAAAACCCTCCAAAAACCCTTCACCTAAGCCTAACACCTAATACACAAATTAAACCAAAATAGTTCACAAACTTAAATGTACAACTTTATGTGAAACTATAAAACTGTTGGGGGGGAAAATGATAGAAAATCTTTGTGACCTAAGGCTGAGCAGTTTTAGACATCAAAAGCAAAATCCATAACGAAAAAAAATGGATTTATGAAAAACAAAATTTTGCTCTGCCAATGACCTTATCTAAGAGGATGGAAAGATAAGATATAGACTGCAAGATAATGTTGACAAACCCCATATCTGACAAAGAACTTGTATCCAGAATACAAAAAGACCTCTCAAAACTCAAGAGTTAAAAAGCAAACAACAACCTAACTAAGAATATGAGCAAAATGCATAAACAGACATTTCCTCTAAGAGCATATAGAGATTGTAAATAAACACATGAAAGAATAATTAACATCATTAGCCACTAAAAAAACGAAAATTAAAACAACAGTGAAATATCAATACGTATCTATCAGAAGGGCAAAAATGAAAAATAGTGACAAAGCAAATGCTGGCACTAGGAAACCAAAAATGTCACGTGACTCACTTTATTGCCTGTAAACATAACTTAGAGATAAATCCACACAACTTCTCTGTTCATTTCCTATTTAGCAAAGCTCTTTGGGTGGGCCCCACAGCAACTAAAAGTTTAGAGTCACCAGACACGCCCCCACCTTAGGGGACACAGATGAACTGTGAAGCTTTTGTATGACTTTATCTGCTCTCTTGAGGCAGGCCAGAGTGATCATCTGATAACCCAGACACACTGGGACATGAATATTTTTACCTATAAGTCATCAGTAAAAGTTGCTAGAGGTTGTCAAAAAATAGTTGAGCAAACTAAGACCAAATGGGATGAGTCAAACATTACTGGGAAGAAATGATGAAAGCAATTTCACACACATCTTCCAATTCTACAACAAATCTGCTCTCTCCGCATTTGCAAGTTTAATTTAGCCCCATTTATCTACGACTTTCATCTGTGACCTTTTGCCCAGAAGGTCACATGTTGCCATGGACATATTTTTTGAAGTTGAAGAGCGAGCTTTATTCGCATCAGCACCTTCCAAGGAGGACATGCATTCAATTATATAGACACTTTTGTTGCTGGCTTGAAAAATGAGCATGTGATCAGCAAATGAAAGCCATGTCCTACTGCTTCCTTTTTTATTTTTATCTTTTAAAAAAAATAGCTGCAAGCTATTTTTAGCAACTTAACAGTGTCATAAAGGTCTATAAACTTCCCCTTTCCTTGAGCTGCAGCTTTAGAAAAGAAAGCCAGGCATCTTACATCATTTGCTGGCTCCTGGAGGAGTCCAGGCTTTGAGGACCAATCATTATCCCTTATGCATTCTTTTTTAAAAAATATATTTTATTGATATTTTACAGAGGAAGGGAAAGGTATAGAAAGTTAGGAACATCCATGAGAAAGAAACATCGATCAGCTGCCTCTTGCATGCCCCCTACTGGGGATGTGCCCACAACTAAGGTACATCCCCTTGACCGGAATCAAACCTGGGACCCTTCAGTCTGCAGGCCCACGTTCTATCCACTGAGCCAAACCGGTCACAGTCCCTTGTACATTCTTTACAACACTTGAGACAGGCAAAGTGAAGATGTGCAGGGTGTGAGAGACAGGAAACAAAGAAAGGTCTCCGAGGCACCATGCCCATTAGTCTGGGCCAAACTGGGATTTAAGAGAAGTCTTCCTCCTTCTCTCTGTCTCTTTCTTTCCCATCCCTCACCTTATCTACTTCCCCAACATCCCCAGGCATCACCAAAGCACCTCATTCTCTCATTCTGGCCTGGTTTTTCCCACTAGGAAAAAAAAAAAAGTTCAAATTTATTTGCACTTAGATGTAAAAGAATTAATATTTTGTTCCTCACAAAACCTATGGAGAATGCTAATATTAGATCCAAAAGAATGAACTCCCAGCAGAATAATTTGGGACATTTGAGCAGATGAGAGGCCTGGTGTTTAGGGCTGTTTCTGACCCCTTCTCAGAAGCCACACTCAAGCCTGGTCCAAGTCCCAGCCCCATCTGGCACTGGCTTCTGCTATGGGTCACTGAGAAGCAGCAGCATTCCTGGCATCCCCCTTCACCATAAGCCTCCTCTCTGTCCATGTAGCCTTGGCCATGGGCCAGGTTATAACTTTCCTTGGCACGGCCATCAGAAATTGGCTGGTTGTTAGACATATGAAATCACAAAAGGGAGGAAATCAGGGCAGCAAATGGCTCACTACATGTTCCAATTCCATCTCAGTGAGTCAAGGTTCAGAGCTCACAGCCCTCCACCTCCTACCCAGATGCAATAACCA